AAAACAACAGATAACTAGAGCAAATAACATCCCACGCGAAAAAACTCTACAACCGAGTCAACGTAACAAGCAACACCGTGTACCATTCATCACAACCGAACCTTACCACCCATAGGCACAATTTTAAATAACCATTGAAATATTCTCAAGTTAAACCCTAATACGAAGGAAACTTTTAAAGACCCACCTGTGATTGCTTACAGGAGAAATAAAAGCCTCACAGAAATTTTAGGAAGCAACAGGATCGAAAACAACCAATTGACTAAAACAAATAATAGTCAACATTTGGGAATTTGCAAACCCTGCAACACTAAATCTGGAAACTTATGCTGTAAACAAATCTTACAAACGTCTCATTTTCGTAGCAATCAGACAAAACAGTCCTTCAAAATATTTCACAATGTTGATTGTAAAAGCAAACACGTTGTCTACCTGATGGAGTGCATAAGATGCAAATTACAAAACGTGGGTAAGTCCGAAACCCCACTAAATCTCAGACAGAATGAATAACCACCGTCAGGACTCCAAAAAATCTAACGCTATACCAGCATGCAAAGATTTCAATAAAGATTCTCATGATTTCACGCGAGATGCAAAATTCATCATAATTGAGCAATTAAGAATAATACCATTCTATATATTTGTGTATGTGTGACCCAAAAGACCATTCTAGAGAATAATACCATTCTATATATATATATTGCTTTGTGTATGTGTGACCCGAAAGAGATAAAGCAACTATGAAATTTCGTAAAAATTATATTTCCAGTGCAAGTGAATGTCTTTGTATATTTGTAACTTTTATATCCCATTAGGTGTTTGTTTAATTTGAGCGCCATCTTTATTATTTTTTTTGTGTTTCATCATTTTAACTTTTGCTTGTTTTTTTCTACAAAAGTTTCGTGATTTTTTTGTTCATTCGAGTAAAATTTTGTAAATGCACAGATTTTCTTTAGAACTGCACACAAAACTTTTAGAACTAAACATTTTGTGTAGAACTGCACGTTAAGAAAGACCCTGCTCTTCACCAGCCCTCCTACAATGTTTGCGTTCTTTTCTCTGCCATCATCAAAGTTTCTTGGATAATTTGGCATCTTTTAATCACGAACCACCGGCTCATAATGATGATTGGGGGTTTTCTTGTCCATTTATTGTAAAAAATCCACGTAACATCTGTTAGAACCCCTTTACATGTCAAAAAGCCTTGTCCCCCTACTTTTGCTAGTCTTGGCCCCTCCATTTTCAAATATTTGGCGTAGGCCTTGTCATTTCATGCATAACAATATGTTGCAAAGCTTACATTTTGCAAATAGGCTGCTTAAAATCCATCTTGTTAACATAGCAAATAAAATAATCGATTGATTTTGATTTAACCTTATAATTTGAGGGCCCCTCTGAAATATATTTAAAGCTAATCTGGACATGGTCACAAAAACTTTCTTCTCGTTCCACTTGCAGTCCAAGTCCAATCGCCGGGCCTGGAAAGAAAATATGCAGCAATGAAATTTCCTTAAATTATAGCCTGGTTATATTCTATCTACGGTAAATTTGTTCACCAAAAGAATATTAAGAAAACTCGAATATTGTACTTAAAAGCGATTTTCAGAGACCAAATTTCCAGGTCACACGAGACTCCTGTTTACGTGTCAAAAGAAGATAAATTATAAAGCTATGAATAAACACATTACGAGTGCCAAAGGTATGTTAAAAAATGAAAGAAGGACATGAAACAGGGGCATATAATGGATGATGGCCGTTCTCACATAGGAACAATTCTGTACAAGAATCGACCGATCTTTCTATATAAATATCAACAAGGGAAGGAAATTTTGCCGATTATAGACATGACAGTTTGGAACCTTCATCATATTTCTGTTTAAAGCCGACTGTCTCAATTTTATAAGGGTGACAACCGCATTTTGTGTTGTGAGGCAGTACCAAATTGATACAGGCAAAAAACGGAAAATGTAATGAATCCACTGAGGGTACCAGGTATTTTGGCGTGATTGCGTGATCGGCGTATTTTCGATGCGTGAATTCGTGAAACAAAGTTTTATTATGCGTTAATGCGTGAATAGACATTGACGCGTGACCTGTGCTTCAGCGTTACTTATAGCGTGATTGCGTGAAAATGAATGTTGCAAGTTATTAAATAAAACTTACTACTATTAGATAGTTATTAGATAAAATCAGATAAATTCTAGGGGGCGTGATCGTGAAATTGAATTTTCAGTACCGTGAAAGCGTGATTTGCAATTATTTTAAGGGTGATTGCGTGATTTAGCATAGATACCTGGTACCCATTACTAAACCCTTGCAGGTACATTCGCTACAATGGCATGTAGACAATAATAACTCGAAGAATTTCATGTATGACTGAAATTTTGTGGTTATTCTAATACAAGGAAAGGCTTAACCATTCCATAGCATTCAAATGTCATTCCAAAGCTTAGCTCAACGCCCACTTACTTGCTATACGTCATGCGTCAAAAGCACCGGAACCACTTCGAGGCTATTTCTTAATACATACACCAATTCAACTTACGGCCTCATAGTGAAAATTATTCAAATTCTTTCGTACAAAATTTTTGACCTCAGATTCGGATTGAGAGCAAATATTCTAGTGTACATGAAAGTTTTCAATATGGTCTTGCTCATGAAATTGATTTTATGATGACATAAAGATTTTATAATTTTATAAGGGATTTGACCGTGATTGGCGACGAGGGGAGTAAAAAAGTCGTACAATGAAGTTTGGAGAAATTTAGCTTCCACAACAAATGATTTTGATTAAAAGCTCTATTGTTTTCCATAATGTGGAGGGGGATGCCCTCCTCCGTCGGAGGCCCTGATGACCGAGGGGCGATTCACTCTTGCAAATAGCGTACGAGATTTTGCCTAGAACAAAAGGATTTCCGGGGATTTTCAGATAAAACAATAGAATTTTCACAAAAGGTGTACGAGATTTTCTTATAGTGATTTGCCCCTCGCTGATGACGACAGTATCTCCCGTTGAAATGGTCAAGCCATTGAAAGAAGGCATTTTGCTTGATTTTGTTGGTAAGTCTTGATTGACAGGCCTTTTGGACAAAGATCTTGTTTTCACGTGGAATACCATTTACCCCCCTGAAGTTGATTTTTGCTTAATGTTGTGAAAAGAAGAACAAAAAGTAAGAGCACCCCTGATCAACCACAACGTCTGGCTTTAAATCTGCTTAAAATATTTCCAGGGTAACACCACAAGTTCTCTTGCTTTTAATGATGTTTCTGACCTTTAAGAAAAGACGAGTATTTGGCAACCTCAACATGAACAAAAACGTAACTTCGGGGAATTTGACTTCGTTGGCAAAAACTGTCAATTCGCACAGCATCTTTACTAATTAAAAGAAGGTTGTCGATGTTGTTTAGGCGGGATGTGCTGCTCAACCAAGTATGATTTAAACAAATCCAAGTTTCCTTTTCTCTGAATCTATCACGTTGTACGCAGGGACCGTGAAGCATATTAAAGATTGAGGGGCTTTCAAGTTATTTTGGCTAAAAAATAAAGATGCTAGATACAAAAAGCAAGATGTTTTGAGATGCTTCTAGCACTCAAAAGAGTCTCTTCTCTCTATCAATTTGGTATAAAAGTTTGACAGGGCATAATTAAAAGTATTAGTAGAAAGTTAAGCATAAGAATCGGAAAGTATAAGACTAATATGAAAATGAAGTCTGGAATTTTGATATCTTTAGAGTTCAAAAATTGTATTGAAAAACTCAAATACCCTGAAGGAACGAAAGAAAAAGTACATTTGAACTACAAAAAGGTGGAATCTTTTGAAATCGGCGACAACAGACAGTTAGAATTATCTTTTGGTTGTACATAACTTAAAAATGGCTTTAAAAAAAGCAAAAATTTAGCAAACTCTATGCTAGGAAACATTGGATCGAATAAACTAATTAGAATTGCGATCACATAATTGTCGAGGTTGCTCGATCAGAGCCGCTTGCCTATTATATATGCAATATATATGCATATTATATACATGCAATTGGGCATATGTATTTTCAATCTTCGATCGTAGAGTTTTCGATCAATGTTCTGACGTTTTATACTCTGAAGAGTGTCAGACGAAAAGCTTTAGCATACACAAATGTTTACTTTTTTCAAAGTCATTTTTACAGTTAGAACTTTTTCAGTCGTACGATGGTGAGAAAAGGATGAAAACAGTTGAAGAACCGACATTGATGTGGGTGATGATGATTGCCAGGACGACGTAAATGGGGATAATAATAAAAACAAAAATGGAAACTTTTAATTAATAACATTTTTTAGATAAATACAATTGTGAACCTCGCTTTATTACAAGATAGTTTACAACTGGCTAACCTGGTACAGAGATAAGAATAGTAATAGTAATTAGATCAAACAAATTGACAATTAAAGCAAAATAGAAAGGGGAAGAGAAAGAGAGAAGACACTTAGCAAAGAATAGCTAATGGAAGCATTCACAAGATAAAGTACTTTGTAAATGGCTTGCCTATTACATAAGTTGATAATAATAACAATAGTAGTAAAAGAATATGAACGATAATGGATTAGCTCCTGCTTATCCAAATAGTAGCTCCACATCTGGAAAACCTCCTTTAGAAATTGAAATCGCAATGATTAAAACATTTGTGAGAGGTACCTAAAAGCAATAATGACGTAATTTGCATGAATACATGAATACATGAAATTCTGTCACGACGAAATTTTTTGTGTTTAATGTACCTCCAGGGTCTCACCCTCTTACCTGAGATATAAAGATATTCAATGTTTTGTTGTCGATATTTTTAATCGGGGGTCGAGTATATGACGGTCCCTCCATTTATTTTGATCCTGTTGTTAGTAGGAGCATAAGCATGCAAAAATTTTGATTACCAACGTATAGAGCCTGACGTCACTACTCACATTGTGGTGTCCTTTCGATAGCAACTGAGAAAGAACTATTTGTGGCACAATGCCCTTCGACCGTAACGTGGATTCAGATTGTTTTGAAATCTTTGCTCAGTTGTACAAAAGACTTTAATCTTTCTCCGCCACTTTCTATACACATAACTTGTACTCGAAAGAACGGTGATTGACCCTCTCTGTTTAGCGTAGTGTCGCCCTGTCATCAAACTGTGAACTCTCCCAGTTCGGCTGATTTTACAACTCGCTCGGGATCAGTAGTGACATTTGCGAGGTGAGAAGTCGAGCACAAATGGTCTTTGAGGATAAACTTACAATTTCCAAAAGTTATGGTTGAAGCAAGCACAGAACAGGTATAGTTCTTTTTACATCTATTAATTTCTGTGTAGTTAGAAGAAATCTCACGTGCCTTATGAACTCCGCGATACTGTATTGCTAGGCCTAAATCTTGTTCGAGATGGGTTTTGAGATTTTTCAGTTATTTGCTTCTGGTTGCTATTTTCTTTTGACTTATTTGTTTTTATCACAAAGTTTGTGCATCTGTAAGATCTGTAAGAGACAGGGAAATTCTTAAAATATTATTTTTTACTTATTTAAAGGTCGTTGGTTGTTGTGCGTAAATAAATTAGGCCAATTTTTGATAGGAAATGTTGATACCGCGGATATAAGATAGTTAGTTACCAAGGTAAAATCCTTTCAGCCTAACTTTGAATTACAGGAGCAATTGCGTATGTTCATGATAATGGAATATAACCACATTGGAAAATGCTTGAAATGACTAAACCAGGAGTTATTTCGACACAAAGCAACCCGGACTACTTGGAGAGTCTCATTCGAAATTCAATAACATTACGACATTCATGTGTCTGAAAAGGTCATAGGGTAGTTTGGTAGTGGTAGTTTTGTCGGAGGCAAAACTTTCCACAAAGTTTTAAAATCAGTGTTCATATTGTTAATTTAAATTTAATTCTTTGTGAGTGATCAGGAAGGAAGGATTCTTGCGCTTGTCTCGTGTTACATAAAGGCGTTGAAAAGAAGGCAAATAAACACGCAAATACAAGTTTGTCCTACATGGCTGTCAAAGCCCTCAGGCTAGCGAGTAAATTTGGAACTCAAAAGATGGTAAAATCGTGCGGTGTGATTTGGTAGAATTCAGTAAAGTTTAAGTTTTATACGCATATATCATTGCATCTTACATCCATGTATTGGTTCGGTTCTAAATGCTTATGCCAATTGTCGAACAAATATTGCAAGCAGGGAACGCGAAAGAGGGGGCTAAGGGGACAAAGTGGGCTTAGCTTCCCCAAAACCTTTTAGCCCCCGCAATCTGTAATATGTTCCGCGTTCCTTGCAGCAAGTCGACTTGTTACTATCAAATTCCTTGAGTTACAATTGGTACTGTCGATAAGGGACCTTATCGCGCCGATTCTAAGGGACCTTATCGTGACATTTATTTGTTTTTATTTACTATACTGCTGCCGTTGTTCACACCATCGATCAAATTACTACCAAAATCTAGATCCTCTATGGCGAGCTTGCTAAGCAGCAGACAACTCATGGTGTTTTGTATTTTCATCAACGGGTCGCACACAGCAGGGCTTGTGGCCCTGCCATTAAATTTGTGCTTAAACTGTGCCATTTCCGGATAAAAATAACAAATTTTATGATGAACTACAACTTTCGAGATGAGTGGCTCATTTATTACTTATTGATTGATACCAACGAGGCAAGATTTTTGTTGGGAGTTTGATGCTGGAAAACAGATCCTACATTAAAGCTACTGGCTTTAAAAGTTCTTAATACCAAAATTTACTAGCTTTATTTCTTGTTTTTAGATGTTTTTCTGTGATCATTTTCCCTTGTCTTTTTGTAAACAAACCACCCCTGATTTTTATTACATTTGCTATTGTCTCAAATACACTTATTTTATATAAGAAACTGGCTATGAGAAACGAGTACTGGACAGTCAGAAAAAAATTAAGAAGCTTCAGTACCCGAAGCAAAAGAATTAAGAAACTATTAAATCGTGATAAAACTGAGAACAACGAAATTTTGGCCTAGAACTTAAAACACAAGGGATAAAAATCGTTAGTTTCCCACATCTAAATACAGCATCAGAACGGAAGCGAATCTCTTGACGTGAAGAAAAGGGTCACGAACATTTCATAACATCATTCATGACATCATAAGCAAGAAACTTAAAAGAAACAATGAGTATCGAAATTTCCAGAACATTAGGAAACTGGAGTACTCAACATCGATATTTGTTTCTGATAAGAAAAAATGAGTGTAATTCCTTTTTGCTAGTTTAAAAATTTTTAAATTGAGTTATTTTTTGTAGCCCCTTCTATAAAGAACGTTTCTGTCGAAATTCTAACTGACGTACAGTGTTTCTTGGAAATGTTTAATATTTTGCTTTTTGTTTAAAAGCCAGAAGAATCCAAGTCAAAACAATTCAATAGACAATAAAATGTAGGCGTTAGGTAAGTTATCTCTATTGAAGCAATTAAAAAAAAGAAACTAAGATATAACAATCGTGTTTTAGATGTATGATAGTGATTAAAATAATATGGTCATTGGGTTTCTATAAGATTTTCCAGGACAGAGATTTAAGTGGTTTTGTGATTGAGATCAGGGACGGTTCTGTTTTGATACAAAAGTTTCCTGCCAAGTCCAAAGCTTTCAACTCAATAGGCCTCAGCTGCACTCTTTTTTTAAAAGAATACTGTAAATTTTGTCCAACCTCAATATTTTTAAGGAGTTTTTTGTTATGATTAAGGAGTTGCAAAGAGCCTGAATATGTTCCTAAAGTATTCGTACGTTTTTCAAATCTGATATGGTTTCAAATCATCACCAAGATATGTACTCAATGTATCTCTGTTCTGAACACAGCAAAGCAAGCAACTGCTGCAAAATGAGACACGATTTTGTGTCCTGAGGCGAAGCAATATATTTTCAATATCCTTAAATTTGATGATTCTGAGCCTGCATATTCCCATAAACAGTATTCTTATAAAAAAGAAGAATGTGAGATCAAAAAGATTAATTTGAGTTTGCCACCCTACAGGTAATCTTCTGGCCTGTCTAAAGATAGAATGGAGCAACCAGTGATTTTGAGAGCTACTGAAAAATATCTTTTATGTCACTAACGGCTGTTTATTACTCATTGTCTGGACACACAACAAATTTCGCTCTTTTGACTGAAACGGTCTGAAACCGGGATCTTAAAACTTGATTTCCTATCTGGAATGTTGGCAAATGCTTTCACATTGCAGGAACGTTGTATAGTCATAGAGTTGCCTTTTTATAATGGTTTGATTGGGGTTTTTCAAGGGACCTGATAATTTTGGTTGAATTACATAAAAGATCGAACTACACAAGTTCTAATTAGACGGAATTAACTGGACACACTTTCTATAACCAGAAGCACGCTCGTGCATGTTCAGACTGTGATTTAACACCCAGCAATATACACTCTAAATCAATATACGCTCGGTTCAAGGCGAGAAAATACGTACGTAATTTAGCAGCATTTATTTTCAAGGTGTTGGTTGTTACAATCTATGACGTAACGATATCGATTCTAGGACAAAAGCTTAGCACGGTTTTATGTTACTCTCACTGAAAGTGGAGTACAAGTTCGTATTTATTATGCAACGAACTCTCATATTGCTTGCAGCTTCAAGAAAGAATAAACAGAGAAAGGAAGTAAAGAAGGTTATCACATCAGTATGGCATCAGTATTTAAAATTTTGATATTTTGGCCCCTCCACTTTCAAATACGTTTCGCCGGCCCCTCTTTTTGTTTGGTCCAAAAATTATTTCTTTTCTTTTGTTTATGAGTTCTTTCTTTGGTCCAAAAAGGTTCACGGGTTAAATTTGAATCCCGTTTATAGCTACCAAGCTTTCTTTGCTTTTCAATCAATAGAAGGAATCAGACATCTTTGGCAAAAGAAAAACTTTTTCGTTTGAGGGCGAGTACAAAACAAGGCCCTCTGGGTTTATCAGTATTCACACTGGAAGTGTGAAATCAAGATACTGGAAGTGCAACTAAATGTTTAAAATGTAACAGGTTGCTACAGTGCAAACCTTTGTCGTTAAATTGCCGTCTGAGACCTATTGGGCAAAGGTTACAGTTCTACAGTCCTCAAGACTTGTTGGCGTTTGCTTTAGGTGTTGTACCCAGCCATTGAAGTGGGTACAGCTTGCAGTTTACAAGTTGCATATTGGGGAGAGTGATGATGACTTCTCATCTGTCCCGTCGTCGTTTGACCCCTACTGAACATTTCTACAGCCGACAGGAGGCCCACCCTTGTCGGCTCAAAAAATTAATGCTGAAAGTACATTCGACTGGAGCATATTTTTATTGGCCATGATTGAATGAATATTTAGGGATATCAAATTAAATGTAAAATCGTGACACATAACGATAAGAAAGTATTCACAGCAAAGCGTGTGTAAAATTTAGTTTCACTTTTAACGAGAGTACGTTATTCAAGGATACAGGAATGTTTCTAGGAATCTTGTGAATTATTTCTTTTGTCAGAAATTGTTGGAGGCAACCTGCACCATACCCTGTGCTACGGTCCAATGTTGAACGATCCCCTGAGTCTACCTCCGCAGACATAAAAGCCAGTTTCCACAGTCACACCCCTTTTTCACCTCCTAGAAAAGCAACAAGTTTATGCATGCCCATTAAGAATTTTGTTTTTACACACACTGCCTAGCTGAATACACCAATCGCTATAATAACAGTTCCAAATTGCATCTGGAAAAACTTTATTGCCAATTAGAGTTGATATAGCAGCAATGTTTACACACGAGACCGTAACAGTAGTTCCAGGTTGTTTATTTTTGCAAGGAGCTTCGTGTATTTGCTACACTATGCGATGTTTTGTTGCAATAGATTTTTAGGTAATACTTTATTCATAGCAGGCTAGGCTAATGTTTAACACAAGGTAGTCTTAATTAAGGCCTATTCGTGTGGGAAGGATCAATTTGTGGCCTGACTATTGTACCGGTATTGAAGCCACAGAATCGAGTTATCAAGAGGTTGCTGTCATGACACTTTCATATTCGACCTGACACTTTGTTTCCGAATAGTCGCAGCAACGGATTGTAAACCATTTTTCTATCGTATTTCTAATAAGGGCCGACCCTTTTTTGGAGCCCTAAAGTAAGCACCCAATAAACAGAGAATTTGTCGAATGAGCTCCAACTTGAATAGCACAAAAATAAACAAATACCGGTCAACTTTGCTTGGATATTCGAAACAGTGATTAAGCGAATGGCGATGAAATTACTGTTGTCATTGTTTTTGTAATTCTGAGTCAAGGATTTACTTTTGAGTGATAACATAACTGTGATATTGTAATATCATGTGATGAACGTGGAAGGGCTTATAAAACTGAATGACTCAGTGCCATTGGCGGTCCACGTGTCACCTCTCATTATGATAATAATCTTCATAATAAAAGGCATCATCATAATCATAATCATTCTGATCAATATTATGATACCTTCATTTTCAAATATGGTCATCATCATCATCATGATTTACGTCAATACGTCACTAACAACAATGTTCACAGATTGGGACAGTAAAATATCTTTAGGTTTTGGGCTCTTTTGTTACTGCCATCTGAACGTCAAAAGTATAATTTTTTAAGTAAATTATGCCTTAACCACGAAGGAAAAGAAATGGCCATAGCCGGATGATGTAACCGCCATCCGGACGTTCTCGATTTCTCGTTTCATACCGGAAATAGAATACTGTCCAGTTAATACAACTGAACGTTCTATCGCTTTGGTGGCTTGTAGGAAGTTCGGTAAGATTTACCGCCTCAAAACCGAATTACCGGCCGCACCTTGCCTGTGGACTTTTCACAAAACGGAAACCTTAAGCACTCACTAAAAGATGAATCTCCTTTGATTTGCCGTTTTCTGTTTAGCATGTTAACCAGCTTTTCATTGAATGTAGTAATATGCTACAATTTTGCTTTACAACACACCAAGCTTCAAAAAAATTACTTTAGACTTCTTTCTTAGAGAACTTTTAGCGCACATACTATATTTCCGTAAGCAACTTGCGATATGCAGATTTAAATATTGATAAGTAATTTCTGAGAGATTTAATTTTACAATACAACTTATTAGAACTGCCTTTAGGTGGCAATAAACAAATTATTCTGAGAATAGGCTGAAGCAGGTAGGCGAGAGAACCCTGTAGTTATTTAGGGACTTAATGATGCTTTTATTGACTAAGATACTGGCAAGTTAGCCAGTAAAATTAAATATTTGGTCTCTTGTTGATAAAACCATTTGTGCTTTATATCTTCTTTTGACGTGAGCGCTCTTGGCTAAACCATATTATGCCTATGCCTGAACAGATAATGGAGTTTGCTGCGTTTTTTTAACTTGATAATTAGAACCCAGGACCTTCTGTATCGCCACAACAGCCCTGCAACTAGCATTTTTATCAGTGGCCCAAGATTGTAGATGAGAGGTAGATGAGAGGCGATGTGAGTCAAAGCTATTAGCAGTTTTTGCAGACAGTATGAAACCTGAGGTATATCAGTTTTTCTAACGTATTTAAGATGGGAAACGTATTAATAATCAATTTTTTTCTGGCATCGTAAATGCGAGGAAACATCTACATGTTAAGAAGCTTTAAAAAACTATAAGGTTCTGTTCAGCGTGTTTATTAACCTCGTGGAAAGTCTTGTGCAATAAGAAACTTTGCTGTTGGCAATTTAGTTAAGTTTGTCAAGTATCCCACTGCTATAGTGAAGGTTTATAGGTGAGTTCATTTACTACGCTTTAGTGGACATTTACTCCGAACCCCGCCCACTAGGGTTTTTTATTTTGAGATTTTTCAAAATGAAAGGGTTATAGATGAGAAAATCTATTTGAGGTTTTTGTAGGCCATCTCTTGTGAAAAGATTCATTTCATATTAATCGTCGCTCATAATGTTTAATTAGAAGCGTAGATAAATCGGAAATTACTTTATCAAGAAACCTTTACTCAGAGACAAGATGCTGTTTGTTGATTTAGTATGCAACAATGCAGTTATTTAGTATTCTGCTAACTTTTTTAGATCGACCACATAGGCGTTTATCTTAAATAGACCAAGCGCTAGCTCGATCTTCTGGCATGAAACTTGTGGCTTCCTCAGTTTGATAACATATTATAATTTCACATGTGAGAAATGTTTTTCTTAACTTCTGACAATTTCAAAAAGGTAAAAACTGTTTAGTTTAACGATTGATATCATGTGATGCTATCGGTTTATTCTTGTTCGTGTAAAGGAGGTGTATGTGTGCGGCAAATCTGGTGAAAAGGTTTTTGTGCCGGTTCATTCTCTGAATGTAGCCTATGCCCTTTTTACAAGTTCTGAAGGTTTCAACAACATATTTAGCTTCATTTCTCTGTCAAATTCTGCCGTGATATGCCGAGAATATGAGAAGGTTTTGAGGGTTCAAGATGGAATTGGTATTGTCACGAACAAATTGGTAAACGTATTTCTTCCTTAAACTATATTTGTTAAACAAACGTTTCTAATAGCGTTTGTTACCCACAATATCTTACAGACGTAAACAACGGGGAAAAAGCACCGACATTTAAAATGACTGAGCCAATTCATTAGAATCTCCAATGTCGAATGTAATCGCGAGAAAGTGGTAACCAATAGTTTGAGTGTCAAACAAATAATAACATTCTCTTTATAACGAGCAAATAATAACAACAAATAACGTTTTCCGGCGCCGAAGAGATCTCTTTTAGTAAATACATCACGCAATCTACGAAAATGCCATGTTTATGTTGTACTTATTTTACGTGCGGGTATCAGAACGATCTTAGTTTCAGCTTGAGACTCACCTGCTTGAAAAAGGTCGAGTGAAATGGAAGTTTCAATCATGAAAAATTGATTGGATAATAAAGGGTTGCCGCAAGTCCTCGAAAAAGCCCCCACCTTCGACGAAACCCCCCCCCCCTCGAATAAGCCCCCGTCCAATATTTTTGGCTGCTGCTATATAGGCCCCCACCTTCGAGTAAGCCTCCCCCTCCAATACGTCCCCTCGAGCCCCTCCGCGGCACCATTGTATAAGCGCTGTGAAAAAGCGCTTAATAGGGCGTTGTGTTTGTAATTGATTTGAAAAAGTTGCCAAAACAGAATACGAAGATGAAGCAAAAATTGACCTAGCAAAAATGTTTTGTATATCCTATGACCGCAACAGCAAGCAATGTCTTTTTGCGTTGCATAGAAGAAAGTTTCGTGAACCATTTTTAGTCCCATCGCTAAAAAAACACGTTCTTATCGCTACGAGATTAGGCGAAGTTAGGAAAACATGCGCTGTTTATGGGCGATCATTATTTTTCAGACTTGGGTGAGCAAGAAATTTCTTGTTAGTAGGGTATGGTGTAACACAAGTTGCAGACCTCCATATGGCGATTTTTTTTCTAAAGGAAGTCTAGAATACGTAGGGAGCATTCTCAACCTCACTAGGCTATGAAGCAATGATTTTAAAAAGCAAATCGTAGCAAATAAAATCTGATACTGATATGTTTTTGTCGATAACAATCGACGCTCGAATGTCTCCGTCTGCTTGGGAACCTGTCTTTCGAGTCAGTGTTTGAAATGACGCTCAGCAAAATGAATCAAAACTAAGATACGTCAAGTAAAAGCACCTATAGCAACGGTTTGATCTTGTTTTGAATTTGAGCTTAACTTTTTTATTTTATTTCTACAGACGTTTGTTCAAATTGAGGTCAGGAATCCAAGGACTCACATAAGCAGAGAGAAAGCACTGTACACCGACTATGAGATTGTTGTTAAGGTAACTAATTATCTTAGCTTTCTATTAGATTTCCTTTCTGTATCGCCCCTAGGGACTTTTAGAGAAACATATGTCTAACTCTAATCATAGTTACAAGGGTCTAGGCCATCTGATTGTTGTTTCGTCGCCATAGCGTTTTTAAATAACAAAATGTCCAAGAAACCATCAGTGAAGCTATTGAATTAATCAAAAATGAAACTATAACACACATAGCCAATGGTGTTTCTTAATGGAGCTTTATTCTGGTCTCTCACTCCCATGTTAAGAGTGAATTTGAGAGACAGTTTATCATTCGAAATATCGAGATCCTTTAGATAAAATCTCTTATCAAAGAAAAGAGGTGTCATTATATAGTCTCGTAATGGAGTTGAAATGTTCTAGAGTTGACATTGATGCTAGTCCCATACTTTGTCTGACCTGGCCGGACCTGCTTTTTAAGAGTGAGACCTATTTCTGATAAAAGTTAAAGAACAGCTTGTGCCAGTAAGGTGATAAAGGAATGGATTGGAAAGAAAAACGAGGAGGAGAACATAGCGCACGATTGAAAGACTTTGGTGCAAGCAAAAGTTTTGCATTTATCAAAATTCTACGAGATTTTCATAATCGTTAAAGATTATGATTAAGAAACTACGATATCTCGTTAATGATTTAGAAACTGTAGGAGTAGATGATTTTGAAACTGTATGAGTAGATGATGACACTAGTGCTCACTCAGACATAGGCTGGAAGGCTCGATGTCGGCCTTGCGAGATTTGGCCTCCGGTTTGCAGTCAGTCATGATCCCAGGTTTCCGGGACGTAGTTATTTTATTGAGGATTTGATTACCTTCAGCATTCCATTGATACATTTTCGCCAAAAGCCCAGTATATGTCATATTTTCAAAGTAATTGATTCCTCTAATTTTGAAATAAGCATCTTTCGATAATCCTAGTATTTTAGAGCCCCTAAGCTATGAAGGAAAGTGAGGGTTCGAAGTAACACCAATCCAATGTTTATAGCGAAGAGACGCAATGAAAGACTCATAAATCGATTGTTTCATGCCTTGAACCTTTAGCCCTGAACGGTTTTTGTTTCGTAGCTACGTTTTTGAGATTTGCCGCAAAGCTTGGGAAAATCAATTAATATGGCTGTTCGTCCGCAAACAGAAATCAATATACTCAGAATGTCATTATAACAGAATTTTTTCACATTTACACCCTTCATTAAATTGTGAAGTTATTCTTATTCCATCTGCTTTTTTGCTCCAAACAATTGCAATATTGATATCGCTTCTACGCTTTTGATTTGGTTTAGTTCGCTCCAACTTTCCAACTTGTGTTCTTTGTTTTCTTCCCAAGCTCTCAGTATTGATATGTACTTCGGTAGACAGTAGAAAACGGATATCGTGAAGAAGGTGGATTTAGTATATATTGGTGACAATGATATTGCTGAGCATAAGTCACGAGTAATTGATCTAACTTTTTTTAAAGCAATGGAAATTTTGTCCTGATTATGTGTCGTTAAATGTCACTGAATGAGAGTAGCATTTTTGGAAGTTTTTGAAAACCGTTAAAGTGATTCATGGGCCATACCTTGGCTATTTTTAAGGAAAGGACTTTCCGGCATGCAAATACCCCGGTAGTTATATCCAAATAGAATATAACTGTTATTATTTCAATGTTCAGTTATTCGGCAATTATTGACTTGCAAACTTGCAATTAATTTATTTTTGGTTTTAGCATCTTGTTTACAGGAAGTGAACTGCAATATCCCAATCAGGCCTTCCTACTTGCAGTTCCCCTCTTATATTGCAAAATAGAAAGATAGATTACGACTGAGACAGGCCTAATCACCCTCTTTTGTGTAGAGTGCATTTTTACCTCTGTGCGATAATCAGGAGAAGCGATAGTGAAATGGTGGGCCCATGAATAGAGTTTGAACACAGTGTGCGCTTTGAAATTGGAATCGACAGGGAAATTATTTAAGATAGCTAAGGAAAAAACTCAGTGACTAGATACACTTGAAACTTCTTCTATTGTTTCATTGGTTACCTAGCTACTATCCCATCCGTTTCCAGGCGACAGACGCCGCCACTATAGCAAACAAGTAATTATTATTTTAATCTTCTGTAAACAAATAACCACACTGTTTGTGTTTAAAATACACCAATACGCCCAAGCAAGTTTGCAAAACCGCAGAAATCTAAAGAGTTATGCTATTTTCAAAATTAATCGGATGCCTTCAGATATTTCGACGCCTTGGTAGGTTGCGGTCATTTCTTGGGGATGGGCACCATTTTATATAAGAGGGTTTTTCATTCAAAAAGGAACTTTGGTCTGTCTTTGAAAATTATACCTTGCAAACCTTAGGTGCCCATACAAACCAAAGCAAGCTTTGCAAAAATCCGTAATGCATTTATGTTTTGAATAAAACATTTAAAAAACTTATTATCACAACTTTATCTTCTAGACGAACAACATAGCTTTTGCATGTACAGAGTCCACTGTACGGCGTAGGTACTCTGAGTTCCAATGGCTGAGGACGAGGCTGATGACTCATTACAAATGGGTGACGTAAGTGCATTTTGCTATTTGAATTCTTTCTATGTTGTGCAAACTGCAAGCTCAAGCTGGGTTGTTTTTATATATATCTTGGTTGCCTAGTCTTTGATATGATGTTTAACCTTGTGTCTATGTCTTTGATAACCTCCTCTGCCGTGTTGTCTACTCTTCATATCTGGGTGTGAATGTCTAAAATCCTTTAAATTCCAGACATTCGAATAGTTATAGCCTTATATTTGTGAAATCGATCAGTGATAGGGATAAATAGATGGAACATTATGTAATTCAATGCAATCGTCTTCCCTGTGTGTTGACTGGCCATTATTTTTCCTGGTAAATTAGCCTAAGGCCATTGGGCCAGTCTATCCTTTTCCTGTCGGTTCAAGACTTGTTCCTTTCATGCCATTATATAAAGATTTCTGTTCTGTCTTAGAGCCCAAAACATGTCCTTCCTCGATAGTATGATAGCTGAAAAATGCGATCCTCATTTGCTGAATTTATGAAGGACTTTTAATTTCGAACACATTTTAGAAAAGGGTTCTTATTATAACTTTGAAGAATGAGCAAAAAATCAAAAGCAGAACAACTTCCGTTATACACAGCCAGTAACTTTTAAAAATGATTAATTCATTGCCAGGTTGCTTCTCCATACATTTTATTGGTTGTTTCCCTGTCTTTCTTGTTGCTTCTCTTTTAACCAATCTATAATTGAGTGAAATACTAGATATTCGATTTTTCAATTTGATATAAAAATAATGTCCTTTTTAAACCTGTTGACCCAGTCAGCTGTACAGGTGAACAAATGAACGTATTGAAACGAGTAATTTTGCGTTTGGTCTGCAAACCATCGATATACCATAGTTAAGTACAGTATAGTGCAGTGCAGTACAGTGCAGTGCAGTACAGTACAGTACAGTACAGTACAGTACAGTACAGTACAGTACAGTACAGTACAGTAGTGTACAGTACAGTAGTGTACAGTACAGTACAGTACAGTACAGTAGTGTATAGTGTATAGTGGATAGTGTATAGTGGATAGTGGATAGTGTATAGTGTATAGTGTATAGTATTGTATGATATAATATGATATACCGTAATATGATATGATTTGTTGTATGGTATGGTATTACAGTATAATACGATAAGATAGGATAGGGTATATGATGTTATGACATGTAATAAGATATGACATAGATTGATCGAAAAATCATTTTTTACTGTCCAGATTTTTTCTTTCTCTCAGTTCCATTCTAAGTAAGCATTTTTTCGTTGCTTAAGTAGTGCAGGACTGAAAACAGCAGATACCATTTTCAGGTTTAACGGCATCTGAATAGAAATCTCATCCCTTTTTCTGGATATTCTTTGCAAACCTGGAATCGCTTTTGTTCTCAAGCAAATCAAGATTACCGATTTAAATTCAAATCCTGTCGAAAGGGTATTTTTAGTCTGTTTATCTTTCTGCTTTTCTCGATTTGTCTTTGCTCTGTAGCTTTTGCAACCAACGAGCATTGACCAGATTAAAAACTTTGCTGTATCATTCATTTGGTTTCTTTAATCCTCTTTGGCAGTCTTATAGCCCTGTTAAGTCTTTTCTGAGTCTTGTAGGTAATCTGTCTGCAAACCCTATTGTTTTGATAAGACATAATTTGCAGTTGAAAAGGAAAAGCTGCTCAGAATCATCTTTGCACCATCCCTTTAGGTAGCAGACTTCATTTCAATGCATAGTTGGTATATTTTTCTGCATTAGGCATTCGTGTATTATTCTAGCTTATTTACAGTGCGGTATTAGCATTTTATGAATTCTTTTATAATTTCTGCTTCTAGCTTTTGAGGATTATGCAATTGATAAAGATAAAGCCGATGTTGAAAAACTTCAATGCCCCTTATCAGTTTTAGAACTGCGTTGCGAGTGTCTAGTTCCTTATATCATGACATTTTAGGCCCTCCTTGAGTCAATACTCCCATCCACGGTATATGGGAAAGGCTGATATCTATCTTGTTCATCAAATCGATAAATATTTGATTGAAATCCGTTTTCCCTTTTCTCTCTAGTTGTCCGCCAGAGCTGCCACCCAAACGCCTTTTTGGAAGGTTTCAGCGGCAATTTCTAAAACGGAGGCAGCAGGGTTTGCAGAAATTTATTTTGAGGTAACACATATTTTAAGAATTTTTTTATATTTCAATCATGACTCGGGGTCTCTATAGGTTACATAATCAGTTCTATCTACATCGTCAGTGTCATAATCTCTTCGATGTTTACATTATATTTCACGATCATAAATCTGCGAATAACTACGTCTGACAATTTATATATCTTTGCGTGCCTAACTCAATTCTTTATGTGATGTTTTGGGCGAAGAAAAGTCTCAAAGTGTGTCCCCCAATCATTGAATAATCAATATCATTTTGTACATTTTAAAGTGGATCTTGAATTTAATTTCATTATTTGTGGAACTACAAATTTGGTTATTGAAAGCTTGTTATGGAGCCGAAGGAAATCTTTTGGACAAAACTGTCACATGAACTTTGAACAGAGTTTTTGCACCAAGTCCACGTTGACCTGCCAGGTCAGCTGACATCATTCAACGTCGATTTTTGCGAGGTTGTGACATCTCTTCATGAAGTAATTCAACATTGCTGCTTTATATTCAAATCCATTAAGACATATTCCCTGTCATGTGGGCAAATGTTGCGTTGTTTGCCTCTACAATCGTATTGTTTACTCTAGATAGTGACCTAATGCGATTTTCTGTTATTTATAGGGTGGTTGAAGATAACCAGTATTTATCCGACGTTGCTGTTCACTTATTCCTACAAAGCAGTTTGCCGATTAAAGAAATTGAGCGCTACCTTGATGGCATGGTCAGTGATGGTGAAATTCTCAATTCGTATCAATCACCAGGGAAGGGAAAGCATTCTGGCCTCTCTCGGAGTATGGCTGAAATTCCACATGAAATCGAGACCCATTTGGAGCATGACAGTGGATTCTGCTACAGCACAACAAGTTCTATCAACGATTTAAGTAAGTTTAGTTTTTTTATAGAGCATTTTATACTCAATGCAGCCTTCATATAAAGTTTTTGCATTAGCTCGGTTTTCGCAGTAAAGAAGGCGGTGAGCTCTGATTTACCACGATATGTATGCGCTGTGAAGACTCGTCAATGAACATTGTTTGCTGTGCTTTTCCATCTGTTAACAAACTAGCTTAGATCTGCATCCTAGACTCGGGCTTACATGTCCAATCATCAATGTATTTAACTGTAATTTCATTTTAGTGAAAACTACAGGGAAACTTTGTAATTGTCGTTTTTTAAGTATTAATAAATTATTTCTGTTTTCAGTGTATACATCAGTCGCTAAATCACGAGCAGAATGGAAAGATTTTGTGTCAATGCCAGCGAATCTTGATAAAGTTACCACAAACGAGGAGATCAAAACAGATCAACCCAATGCTCGTAAACTTTCCCAGGTTGACTCAGGACACGTGACGTTTACCGGGAGCCACATGTCTCTCCAAAGGACAGCTAGGTCTTCAGAAAGTGATTCTGATTTTCTGTTTTCAGTAGAGTATGATGCTGACGATGAGAGTGATCATTGTTGTCTAGAAACAATTGAGGGGGTGTCGATGAATCTTCATTACTCTCAGACATTTTCTATCGAACAAGCACTCGATATTTTACGAACTAGAACAAAAATTTCTGATAGAATCCAGCTGCTTGAAGATACTGATGAAGAATTTCACGAATCAGAGTACGATGTGATAGATTCAGAAAATGAAGAAAATGAGCGAAAATCGATATCCTCTATTAAGAAAAAGTTAAGTAGAAGTTTGTCTGACGCAAAGTTGAAGAGGAGATCATCAAGGTCAAGTTTAAATGAAAGAAAAAAGCCAATGATAAAAGGGGCATTCCAGTCAATGCCAAATATGCAGAACACACATCATAGACATCATACTAGAGCAAAAGCAGCTGGGGGTATATTCATGAAAAAGCTAGAATCCCATCAGGAAGACCCTGAGGTCGGAAAGGGTTCAGCAAAAGGTGAGGGTTTCTCTACCTCTAGCAGTATTAGCAAGTACAGGTCTGATGATGCTGACGAGAGCTACGTACCTAATTCCGAAATGGATTGCTACAGCACGTGGAATTCGCCGTCAAAAATCGTTAATGGTAACGTGGACTCGAGTGAGATCGAAGCCAGTTTCGAAAAGGTACCTGAAATAAGGTCAGCTGCGAGAAGTTTGTTCAAAAGGATCATTAGTAAGCGGGAAAAGGCGATAAAAAGCGCAGATGCCCCATTGATAAGTGGACGTTTTCGCGTAAGCGTTATTCGAGAGGAGGGGAGCTCAAGACGGGGATCGGCATCCTCTAATGAACTGACATTGAGGCGCAGTCCGGTAAGGGAGGTTGTTAAGAAAGCCTCGCAGCTGGTAAATGAGAGCTCTGTGCGAATCTCGGAACAACAACTTTGGCCGCAAGAAAACCTTGCTTATTCAGATCGCAATATTGCTGATGATGAGGATTTTCTAACAGTTCCAAAAATAATGGATATTATTTCGGCACCATTAGATTTCCCTGATGCTAGCGATTCTGAGAAACCAGGTGAAATAGCAGAAGGGAAAGAGGAAGGATATCCTGATAGTCAAAGCCCTTTTGATGACTTCAAGCAAGTACCATCTTTGGTTTCTTTAGTATCGGCTTTATTAGGCATGGAAGAAACTAATGTTAATAACAGACCCAAAACAACAGATACCCCGACTGAGAAATCAAGTACAGTTGCTCTACAAAACGATGAATCAATACAGGAGCTTGCGGTGAAACATCCCGTAAACTCAGAAGTACTAGATTCAGAAAGACCATGTATCATGGACCAAGCAGAAGATGCACAGTATTACAAATACAGTTCATCGTTCATCAAAGACTTATCTGCCCAAAATAATTTCAACGTTTTAGGCCTAAATGGGAATTTATATACAGATCATCAATTGCAATCCTTTACCAAACAAAGACCAATGTCTCCTACGCCAGCATTATTGAACACCTATGATGTCATACCGGATGCTATTACAACTTCTCTTGAAGACTATGCCATTTTGGGTGGGAAAAGAGATTAAGGGTTTCGGAAATTTTTTTAGCAAATCATACCACAGTATTGTTAGGGTTTGAGCAAATTTAAATGCTGTACGATCTTTTAGAGGAATATAGATTTGTATTTTATCGTGCCAAACTTGATTCTTGGCATATTTTCATACATCTAATCTCCACATACTTTTAAGATTTGAATTTTAATTAGATTCGAATTTGTAGACTGGTAATTCTGACATAATTTGATAGATTATAACTAAGTTCATTAAGGAAACTCTACAATTCACTTCATAGTTGGGGCAAAGTGTTTTTCTGGGGATCAAGGACCTTTTAGTTTGAATTTTTTGTGATTCGGTATTTACCTGTTATTTGTGATACGGCTGATAAAGTGTAAAAAATTAAGAACTAATTCTCGGGATGGAAATAAGTACCTTAGGGAATGATATCTCGTTTTGGATGCCTTTGGTATCAACCTCGCTCTATAATGTCAGATATTAGAGGCAGCAAAACATTACAACGGACAAAAAGTGCTTTAAGCTTGCTTATAGCGTTGGCTGATCGCTATCATGTAAAATTTCTTTTAGCTGGCCTAAAAGTTGTTGACCATGCTTAGCTGACAGCACCTCATTGATAATTCGTTAAAATTGCTGTATGACTTCGTAGGGCAAATTATCAGAAAATATATGCTGTATCTGTCGAGAAAATTTTGTTCTTAGATCGCTTTCGAAAATGAGTACTGCATCACCCCAGTAACGAACCTGAAAAACACCAAATTCGTTGAGACCCGCACAATCAAGACACTTCGCAGCTGTACCCCTGGTTAATAAGTATATAATTATGTAGGACTGCAAAATTTTTTCAGAAGACCAATTTATAAAGAATGCACAGTTTCTTCTGATAACAATATCATCAACGTCCTTCATGGTAGAATTTTTCCAAAAAAATTGCTGTAGCTAGTCAAATGATATTGAAGAATATCTTGATATGAATAACTTAAGCAATCTGCTATGGCGGGGCGGTGTCTATAAATTTCAAGCTGCTTCTTACATGCTGTACAATAAAACATAAAATTCTTTCTCTAAAATACCTTTTAGGTTCTCGTTTAGAATGAACGATTATTAGTTCGTCATCTTTGCAATCATTGATGCACTGTATATAGACTAGTGTAAAATTTGCATTTATTTTCCGAAATTTAGAAATACGTGATTTTTGTTATATTTTAATATTTTGTAACATTAAATATTTTATGAGATGGGTTAGAATCATAAGACCAATGTTAATATTTAGTTGTTAAGGATTAAAGATTAAGTCCACCCTACACAAGTCATTCCTTTAAACATCAAGTAGACAGCCTTCTATGATTATTGCTAGCACTCAGAGTTAACTGAAAACACCACGGAGCCCTATGTCCGTCATATATAAAAGATGGTTATAAACAACATTGATGTACCCCTATCTATCTTTAACGATCATACTAACTCATTGTTGTCAAACTTTAATCCATATTGTCACATTTAACCACTTGGGTAACTGCTTTCAGATTATTTTTAAATTGTGAAATAATTTTAATATTTTCTTTTGTAACATGGACTGTAGCAATAAATTCGTTTGCTGTTCAAAAGACATCAATGGATGCTTCCATACCGATCTCCTAGTAAATTTTATCCACGGTTCATTATCGAATCATTGACGAAAATCAGATCTTTCAAATTCATTTTGAACGCGATTTGTTATTGTGGCCAAACCTTAGGGGTTTCTTTGTTTTGTGGTCAAATTTTTCTCGTGTTTTATATTTCAACTACTCATCCTTCTTGGTTCGGAACGCAGGATTCGTTCCGTGGTGGCTGGTCCGCCTAGCCGGATAGAAGGATCAAAATTGACCTTAACTATCAGAGAACCGGAAGCATCACATGACCTCTTTTGGATATATAATGATTTTTATTTCGTTCAATCTCGATCTGGCCAGAATTATTTATAGCTTTTATCCATTGCATTTAACCGCTGTTATTTTCATCATTTCATTGCAAATATGTCATTGTTGTTTTTGTTTTTGCCTTTTTTCTCTGATGTTTCGTGGAACGAACTTAGATGCAGGGGTGAAGAGCTTTTGGCCTGAACTCCTTTATGAATATTGAAAGCAGCCCTTTTCTACTTTTCACTTTGCTTTTTGAACAATTTTTGAACAATTTATCTTGCTCTTTTCATAGAGCCACACGCCTCAAATCTTAGTAATGCTTGCATTTAAAATGTTTTCTCATTAGGCAAAAATAGTTCGGACACTGGCCGGAGGAAGGTTGCCAAAAATTTGGAGACTTGAGGAAGTTTACAAATTTGTATAGGCTATTAAATATTTGCTTTTTATAATACAGCCATGAAAAAAATGAAAGAAAATTAAATTCAAAAACCTCCTGTTTTTCAATTTGAATATGTTCGCAGAAATACTTCACACTGTAAAATGTAGTCATTAAGGCCTGAATTATACAATTTTTATTAATCTATATAAGCATTTTACCACGCTATTCTGTGATTTTACTTTACATCGGTTTAAAAAATATCTAAAATTGAAAACAATCTACAAATTTCTAGCAAAGTTTTGAAAAAACAGTGCTACAAGGGGAGTAGATCAAGGCTAGCTGTGTGCCCGGTTTTATGACTCACGTCCATTTTAAACCAATTAAAATAAAGTAAATTTTTAGAAACATTTTCTTGGCTGGATGACGGTTGACAACTTTTCTGGATTCTGTAATAGTTCTACCGCGCAATTACTTTTCATTGCTTCTATTGCAACTCTTCTACTCGATCAACAATAAGGAGTCAGTGAACCCCGGGATTCTGTAGTTCTTGTCCCCGACCCCCTGCTACAGCTATTGCACCTACGTGGCAACATAAGAGGATAGCGTATACTTCTAATTTATATAGTTTTAAAAGAATTTACGCAAATAACTTCAATATTTTTCGACATAAATTGAACTTTTATTTCCTTTTCAGGCGCATATTTAAGGACATCAGTTGTTTGCCCTGAATCAAATGCATAGCCAGGTCCTTAAAATTTTTCATTAAATTCCATGTGCTAAACCATGCCCTAACATTTTTCACATGGAAATTATGGTCCTCTAGTCATTGCAATTTTGGATATAATTTATCAATATAATTTTATAATATAATTATCAATAGAATTAATAATTCATAGTCACTTTTTGCTGCTTTTCATTCTCCACACCCCCAGTTAAAACATTGTTTCAGTTGGCCATGTATGCCTGCCAAAAGTGACGGAAGAAAAGATGTTAACGTGGATCAGCGAGGCCTGGGCACAACACACCAAGGCTTAAGCATATCACACTCATTAAAAATTGAAAAATGTTCTAGAATATTTGCTTTTTTCAAAGCCATTATTAAATTCTGTATCACCAAAAGACTGCTCATCAAAATTGTTTGTGCAAGAATTAGTAAATAAATGATACATATCTTTCGTGAAGAGTGGCTTTTAAATTTCTACTCGTTAATTAGTAATTTGGTATCACCCTATGAAGGACAAGGTCCGCTAAGGCCTGGTTCAAACGTCGCACTTCTCATGTGCCGAACCTAACTCTGTTTGGAGCGACACTTGAGCATGTTTAGCGCGACTCTCGTTTCAAACGTCGAACTTAATTATGTCGCGCCAAATGGGCTTTAGGATTGTTACATGAAGTATCTTGGTTAAGGCGCGCAATCTCAAATATTTGTTTGAAATGCATGCGCCCTCCATGAAAGAAATGAATTCTGGGAAGGAAAATAAATTAAATATAATTATGCATTGAGTTCGGTACATGACAAGTTCGACGCTTGAAACCGTGCCGTGCTGGAGCCGTGCAGCTCGGCAAGCTCTGCCGATCCAAACTAGTCTGCCGCTCCTAACTAAATCTGCCGTACCAAATTGATTCAAACGTCGCGCCCCTCATGTACTTAATTCTCGAGTTAGGTTCGGCACATGAGAAGCGCGACGTTTGAACCAGGCCTAAGACTCTCAGTTGCTCTTACTGTCTCTCGCTGGCACGACAGTTTTCTGCAGATAAAGTGTTGCCAATAAAGACAAGTGAACTCTATCAAAACAGGGACGCCAGAACGCATTTCGTGGTCGGGGGCCTCTAGACAAATCGGCAAACTTTTGTGGTAGTTTTCGACCGTTATCCACGATGCCACATCCAGATTATCAATATCACACTTGAGCAAAAATGTTAGGGGCTATAGCCCCTAGCCCCCCGGCTCCTGCGTGCCTGCAAAATTGATCTGCTTTATTCTGACATGTATCTAAAACACGTAGATCGTAGGCATAATTATTGAAATGTTTTTTAATTTAATATGCTAACTGCAAAAATGAAAATTTAGTTATTATGCAATTCATCAGCTGGCGTAAAATTACTTGTTTAATCTTCAATCTTTTATTTCTTAGAAACGCTTTTTTAAACGAACATTGCTTCTTAATGTAACTCACACAAGTATTCCTTAAAAAAATGCAAAGTGAGAGACCATTCACTACCAAAAAAAGGGTAGGAATTTCTTGATGGTTTTTTTCGGATTTCCAATAGGCTATTTCCGAAGGGAATTGCCCCACGAACAAGGTGCTTAGTCAACTATGTCTCAAAAACAACAAAAACAAGTCACTATGTGCCATTTTGGTGATTTCGCGTGAAACTCGTCAATGACATGAAGTTCAACAAATAACAGGGCTTCTTAGGGGTCCTGCCGTCTTGCACAATGCATTCTGGGTACGAATTGAAAATTTGTTCTCGGATGCATAACAAACATGGCCTCTCATAGATGAAAGAAGGCTAAATAAAACCTATTAAACGCGGAAAACTGTACGGTTACAATGTAAGTTATACAAAAAAGGGCTGTTAAAACATCAGCAATCATGTATCATCCAGAATATCGAAGGGATTATGACAGCTTGGAAGGCTTCGACAGAGTTAACAACAAGGTGGGTGGAAAAGAGGAGGCCTAAATGAAGTCGATGAACAACACAGTCGAAAATATAGGCTGTATAAATATAGAATCTGTTCTAATCTATTAAAAAATTGAGTTTCCTTGAGTTTTAATTAAAATATTGTACGAATAATTTTTTAGCTCAATTTTTATCTTGCAAAAAGGGTAGCCAGTGCGCAGCCTATGTTGGACTTTTTTCACACCCATTTTTCTTCAGATGAAAACATTGGGAAGCTAAACTGTGCAGATTAAATGAGAACGTTGGTTTGAAAAACTGGAAAAAAGCTCTCGCAAATTTATTTTCAGCCCGCGTCTCCAGGAATGGCCTGATTTCAAGAATGATCTTGTTGATAGAGAATAACTGAATAGTTTAAGGTGGATGGCATTTTTAGTATTTGCTGATCTGAAAATAATAAACCTGTTCTAAACTTATACAGTTTTACTGAGTTTTTTTGAAAAGGGATCTTATTATGTTCTTGTGTGGTTGCTCTAAAGTTTTTATCCTGAAGCATCCTTTGTTTAGGCTGTCTGGTGAGATTTAAAAAATAAAAAAAATTCTACAAAATTCAATTTAAAAATGGCTTTCAAAAAAGGAAACATTTCACAACACACTCCTTAGAGCTTTTTTAAAATACAATTTATCAGTGACATTGATAAAACACTACATTACATACAATACAAATGAAATAGAAACCCAATACAGAGCAAATATAAAAACGAGATAATAATAGCAGATTCAAATGCTTTCACACAGGCACATAACTGTTATAATGCATTCTGTGTCTTTTACTGTACAGAATGATTTTTTCCTGAATAAACAGTATGGAGCATTTGGATATGATATGACATATGGGAATGATAAAGGAACATACTTTGTTCTGAAGTAATGAATGTCATAAGTCAGACCTGGTCATAAGAATTTTGGCAGAGCAGGGGGAGGCAGTGAATTGCTTCTTTTGTTTGTTTTAAAGGCAGTCTGTCTCTTCAATGATTGGCTAATATGAAAAATTGGTCTTCCTGCCTTAACAGATTACACTGCTCGCTTAGGCTTGCCTAGCCGCAATAGTGGACATCAGTTAAAACTGCGAGCAAAAAGCTATCAGAAATAGCAAGAAGATTTAATTACTGGAATTGAATGATGAAAGTGGAAGTTTTTCCTTCAGCTGTTGACATCTCTGTCAAAAAATCCAAACAGGGAACCAAATTTTTCTTGCCAGAGCTTCACCCCAACAAGAACACAGCCATTTGATTCAAAAACTCTGGAATCAAAGTTATCTCTGGTTGGTATAAATCGTTTAATTATCAATCAAGCTCAACAATGCGTGAATTTTACTCTTGCGAAAATAAAGTTGAGCACAATTAGGGACAGACTGCCTTTAAGGAGGCAAATTTTATAATATGTTAAATTAATAAAAAATACTTTGAAGATATTTATGAATAGCCTATTCACAAGAGAAGAGTGAATGGTGATGGATGAAAACATATCTTTGTAGACACTTTTAGGATTGTTGGAGTCCCTGCTGATTAATTACTGTCTTTGAACAACTTAGGAGGATATCCACCACAAACAGCTGGACCTGGCTTGAAGATGAAATTTAAAGAATTGAAAGATTTTAACATTTTAAAGAAAATTGTGATCAACTATTGAAAGTAATATTTTTACATCTTTAAAACTTATTTAATCAAAATTTTTGATGTGTTAAGATTGAGATTGATATCAAATTTGTTGTTTATTCTAAAATGATTTTATTCTAGTACTTAGATATTGACATAATCAACCCAAGAACACACATCAAAAGAGGAAAAGCAGTTTACACAGACTATGAAATTCATGTAAAGGTTGGTTTTTTAGTTTTTCAAAATCATGAAGAATATATTGTTGCTTGGCTCTGGAAACTGCTTTCAAAGCCAAAGTATAAGAAACAAGTTCCTTTGCTACATTGAATACTTTTGGCTCAGTAGAGATTTTGCCAGCTTCTTCAAAATTTACAGACCATGTCATACAATCATTGCTGCTGCTTTGGCACACCCATTGATCATGGCAAATATTGGTATAAGTTAAAAGCAACATTTAATGTAAATGGTGGGGGGCTATTATCTAAAGTAAATGGTGGACAATGACATTTAACACTGTACAACAGACCAGTTGAAAGTATTATTCACTGCATGAATATCTTAATCATACCAGGTTATGAATAGAAGGTAATTTCATCTTATCTGGAAAGTAATAAAATTTTCTTTCAGACAAATCATCCAGAGTTTGCACTCAAAGAATCTCGTGTGAGAAGAAGGTACTCAGAATTTGTATGGTTGAAGCAGAGACTGGGACTGAATGATGTCATGATGGTGTAAGTTGCCTAATGGAGAAATCCTTAATTTTTTTAAAATACACTCAAAATACAAAGCATTACTCAGAACTGATATCCAGTCACAGGTGCAAGTTCATTGGCTACTCATCTAATAGGCAATCATAATAAAGTTTAGGGGAGCTTTTTGACATCTTTTATGAAAGTAAATTATGGTTCTTAAACAATTAAAACAACAAAAGTGAGTTTTTTAAATATGGAAGTGATAACAAACATACAATTAGGGGGAACTTAACAATAGCTTGTTTATGAAATGCAAGATTTGAGGTATTGTTCTGCAGGATAAATACTTGGTCGATTATCATCAAGTCCGCCCTAGATCTACCCCCGTTGATACCAATAACATGCAGAAGACAGCAGGGCATATACTTTGCTGACTACCTTTTGGCCTGCACAGAATAGTCGAGTGGCGATTCTAAATATTCATCTGGTCCGTATTTTCTGAATCCAGGACCTTGTTTGTCCCTCGAGAGCCAATCACCGCTTGCTTGACCTCTGCAAACGTCTTGTAAGCCAATCAGAGTGTACTTCACTTCTGCAATCTTTGGCGGGAGCATAGGTGAGGATTGATTTAGCAAATTAGAAGCCTGGCTTGCCTCTGCAGCAGTTCAGCCAAATAATAGGAATCAGAGTTGACCTATGCAATTGTTTACAGTGGACCTATGCAATTGTTTGTTACAGCCAATGAAATAGCAATTGACAATCGCTGCTTCACCTTCTGCTAATCTGCTAAGAAAAGAACGTCTGTTCTGTGGTCTTGTGATATGACCACTGTGTTTGAGAAGTGGGGGCCCTGGTTCGAATTCTACCGGAGTAGGTTTTCTCAATACCTTTTTCCTTTGAATTGCAGATAAATTTAGTCTTCCCTTTGCGAGTCGTTTCCTTAGAATTCCTTTCTTGTATCCCCTATTCAATATCAGAGATACAAATTTTATTGAGAAAAGTTTGTACCTTTCCAACACAAAATGGCGTAGCTTATCTTTCTGACAACCTTTGCATTGCATAGGTCAGAATTCAGGCTGGATCCCCGCCTGCTAGTCCATTTTTCGAAAAACTCAATGACCTTGAGGAGAAGGTACTTGTGGCTTTCAAAATCATTCCTTGAAGGCATTCTTAGGAATTCAGCGTCCTTTAAAGTTACCGTAATTATTTCAAAAGCAGACACTAAACTACTGCGAAAACTGGCTGTTATGGAGGGGTGTACCACTCTTTCCAAACAGCGTACGCGTTTTTTAAAACAATAAGATTTTAGGGATTTTTTTAGGATTTTTCTCGAAGCGAAAAGAAAATAATTTTTTCTGAAGGCGTAAAAGAATTTCGCACGGTGATGTGCCATAGTTCTTCTTGTAGCCTACTTTCTTAGAAAATTGTGTCAGTCGATACTTTGTGTCAGTGTATTCAAGTTTATATTCCGTTTTGTAACATATACCATTATTTTTTTTTAATCAGAACTGCTCCTAGCCTTCCTGGTAAAAGGTACATTGGACGATTTAAAGGTTCGTTTCTTGAAGAAAGGCGACAGGGTTTACAAAACTTTATGAACAAGTAAGCATGAAAAAGTTTTTTGAAAGATATTAAATAATCTAAAGGCGCTAGTCAGATAAATTGGTTAGAATATTTTGGTTTTCATAAGTTGAATTTTTGAGCCACTGCCAAAAGCCTTTGAGTAATTATTGTGGTGTTAGGGAATAAATTAACTGTTATGTTTCAGCTAATCGGATACCTTATTTTCCTTCTCAATCTGATAAGCTGTTCCTTAATTAATATTTTTTAAGTTTATTAAAACGAACACCACTTCAGACAACACTCATTGCCTAATACTGCACCAGAAAGATTATGTATTCAGTGCTTGATATTGTCGTTCTATGTTAATATAACCAAGAACGTATTGAAACATTAGAAATATTTTTGTTGAAGATAGAACCTTAATGTCAGAATTGCCATTTAAAAAGAAGCAAAATTGTTAGGTTTTATCGTGGAAAGTTAGTTTTGGGATTCTTGATATAATGGCTCGACGGAATGAATATTAGCTGCAACTTTAAACAGTAGATTTCTGATATGATATTGCGAGGGAAAGCAAGACTTCCTTTCAACCTTTCTCATTCTCTTCCAACGACCATTAGTGAAATTTTCTCGAGATTTGTATGCAAGAGTTTTAATTTTTTTTGTATCACATAAAATTTTTTTACAATAAATGCTTACGTCTACATCTTACTATAATTCCTAGTTACTTTACAAAGTGTACAACACTTCAGGGATGGGACCACAGGGAGCAAAAGACAATGACTACCCTGTGGCCATTAACATAAAAAAACATATAACAGGTAGCAGCTAAATGAAACAATTACGGACACCTACAAATATAATTAATTACTGATAACTGCTATAACCCGAGCTTGATTTTATATGACCTAAAATGCATCCTTCTCCCTACTTACTGTCACCATTGAAATTTTGCTGCCCCAGAAGTCCGCAATCGTTACAGGCAGGCCTTTCCCGGAAAGGCCTGGCTACAGCCATTGTTGATATGAGCAGGGTGTCCTCTTCTCTATCACCGTGTGACCACAGAATAGAAAATAGGCAGAAGGGTAACTCTTGTCGGTTCCTTTGTTGTTTTTGAAGCCTGAGTCAACAATAGAATTCCTTAAGTCCCCTTTAACCTCGATTTCATTAGACGAACTTAGCCATGAAAAATTGTCATTCATTAATCAGATATAAACGAATTATGATACATAATTGAATTTGTTTACTATCATGGGGCTTTTCGTCTCAAATAAAGTTGTCTACTTTCACTCTTTTTTAAAATTTCCCCGACAGATACATGCTAAGCCTCGTATAAGTTAACGCATGCGCATGTTTTTTCAGGCTTCACCTGATAGGCAGGAGCTCCCCTTCTGCTTAATTCCTACTCTGTGGTGTGACCATTGGCACAAGAAATTCACAGTTGAAAATTTTTCTCACAGGAAATTTTTAACCACTGATAATGATTTAACTGTTTTATACACTGCGCATAAAGTTGGGCAGTTTTGTAGGAAAAAAATGCTACACAGAAAGAACCGATCTCCTATATTTATAACACAATAAATTCCATTTTAAGAATAGAATCAATCAAAGGTTGCAAAAGTATGCCTAAGAAAGTATAATGTTTAAAGAAATATTTTTAATGACTGCAAGAAATATTCTAAAATCCATCTCAAGCTAATCCTCATAAAAAATGGTCGACACAGGTTTTAAAGACTGTTTTTTTCAGTATCCCCCCTAAGATCTTAGAGACCTCTCCAGGGGCCTGATTATAAACATAGCAAAAGTTACTAATAAATCTGAAATTTTGTTTTTTATTTTTGTGAATCCTTCAACGACATACTTTCATCACATAATTGAGGTTTTTCAAAGCCACAATCATGAATTTCCAAAATTATTTGTACAGAAAATTTTCTTCCAAAAGTTTACTGCCACAAGATGACTTACTGAAAAACATGGCACTAGCTCGACATGATAGAGACATCTTTGATCGGTTATAAGTCAGTTGTTTCATTTCAGGGTTATTGAAATAAATGCATTCCTTTCGGAGCCTGCCTTGCATTTCTTCCTACAAAGCACCGTGTCAATACCAGACATGGAGTACCATTTGTTGCACGCTAACTTGCTAAGCAATATTCGTGACGTAATCATTCACTCAAACGATGCCAAAGAAAGAAAGCAACGAAGAAAGCTCTCGATTCAAGCTAAATGTCAGCCATTGCGAAGGAGCTTAAGTCTCGACAGTTTACAGCAACGTCCAAAGGCTAGTAAGATGCCACAGAACCAAGAAAGTGGGCGAGGGAGAGGCTGGTCTCGTTTTATTGGGGAAGGATACCACTCTTTTGCCATGTCAGTGCCAGACACAGTCGATTATGGAGGTATTTTTCTTACTGTTCGTATAACAACATCGTTAGCATTATAGCTGTTGGCTTCAGCAAAAGTCAGTCTACTGGTATTTTGTGTTCAGATCCAGGCTTTAAACTCTCATCATCAACGTTTTTCATGCTTTAAAATCTGGTCACTATAACTAAAGACCGGATAAGAGGGTGGGAGGGGGGGGGGGCCGGTAATAATAAAGGTAAAGTACATCCTATTTTGGAATAAGCTAGAATGTGGCCTAACTCTGAAAATTGAATTGAAAAAAAGTACCTAAGTGGGTAAACCTTTGTCAGTGAAAATATGCTTTGGTTACTAGCAAAATAGATCACCGTAAAAAGAACCTAAGAATCTTGGAACCTACAGACTGTGTTTCTTTGATTATTTGAATGGTGATTCAGGCTGAGAGACACGCTATTGTTTACTTTTAAACAATTTTTGTCTCAGAGAAAATATCGAAGAGCTAAAAATATACCCCTTTAAATAAGGCAGCAGCATATGCCAGTACTAATCACTATGTTGGTTGCAAAATTTGACCGCATCATTTCGATTCCCTTAAATTAATTAAATGGTTTACAATTCTTCTTGAGCTGTGTATATTGATCTTTCTTAACTTTGGCAAACAATTTTCAGTTTGATGTAAAGTTACAAAGTAGCAACACATAACTGGAATGATTTTGTTTTCAGGGAGCTTGACTCCGTTTCTGCAGCGTCATGTTTCGAGCACAGCATTTGTGCTGCCAGGGGGAAAAATTCGACTCGCTGGATCTCGGCGGCAGTCGGCAGCAAAAACAATAACTGTGAAGGAATCCGTTGATAAAAGGAGACGCAGAAAAGTGCGACACTCTAGCTGGCATGGGCCTACGCATGATATGACTGACTTTTTTCTCGATGATTACGAAGTGATCGGCCATGATGCTGTAGAACAAACAACTATGAGCGAGATTGAATCAGTTTCAATTTCAGACACATCGCAGCAGACCCATTACGACTCACATTCGTCGCAAAGCAGTGATGATGGGATAGAGATTGACATCACAGAGAGACTCAAAGAATATAACGTTATATCGCTAACTGAGGTCATTAGTTACAACTGGGATCAGCAACTCAGCCTATACGAGTAGATTATTTATTTGTTAACACTGTGTGTCTAATCTTTCAACTTAAATCGTTTAGGGGCCTGTTAATATAAGCGAAATTGTCCCACCTCTCAGGCCATAATCTGGCAGGGGGATGAAATCATCGAATGTGTGTATGCAGATTCTATCCCACCTTCCAGCTGTATATGGAGAAAATCGTCCGACCATCCAGCCTGTGTGCTGACAAGTTGGACGAAATTTGATCGTGTTTATATGAAAATTTCGTCCCATCTTCCAGCTGCATCCCACCTCGAGTGCAGTGGGATCTTACCTAACCGGGCTGGCGTGTTTTCCATATAAACGCAAGACGAAAACACAAAGGATTCTATAGAAGAATGGGGTCTCACCACTCAGCTTACAGACTGGAAGGTGGGATGAATTTCTCCATATAAATAGGCCTTAGAAACAGCATGGCCAGAAGATCATTTGAAGCTCATGGGTCCAGACGTAGACTACATATGACAAACTTCACTTTGATAAAAATCAACGTCAAGTTTTTTGTTGACGATTCCTTTTCTTTGGGATATTTGTAGGTAGTGTCAAGGCCCTTTTGATACCGTTATTGAAATTTTTATATTAACCTCTTAAAAACGTTCGGTTTCTTACTCGGAGCTTGCTAAATATTTGCAAATATGGTTGCGTTTTCAGAATACTACGACCAGTCTAAATGAACCGAATAGAAATTACATTAAAATTGATATATATTCCCAGGATGCAATGCATTCATCAGAAAGGTGAAAATCTTTTGTTTATTGTAATCGTTGACTGCATTTAAAGATTGTTTTTTTCTCTCTCTAACAGTGCAAGAAATGATCTTAAAAGTGGAAATCTAATCTCATTCACAATTATTGTTTATCTGAAATGCAATTAATATATCGTTATCCATAGGATTCCTGTATGACAAGTGTATGAAATGTATGACAAGATCTTAATGTATGAGAACAATGTACCTCATGACAAGTAGAGCATAGTCAGTAGGTAACAGAAAAAGGGGATAGAAACTGGTGGAATACGTTTCTGGGGGAGTTTATGGGGACAATTTTTTACTTTTTGATGCGGGCGTTTTTTTAGCTAGAGATTTTCAACTTAGTAACTCATTTTTGGTTTTCGCAAGTTTCCTACAAAATTTGTTGGAGTGTAGAATTAAGTAGAAATACAAATTTAAATTATTTGTAGTAATCATTTTTGACATGTCTATGGTTTCGATTACCACTTTAAATATCTTAGATGAGACACATTGTTGTCTTTCTAAATAATACGTAATTAACCACGGCTGAGTTTTAAATAGAGTTATCAAGTGTGACGTCAAAAAAAACTATTTTTAGAATTTTCTAATTTTTACCAAATAAAGAAAGAACGCCATATAATAGTCCCATGTATGCAAAAACAGTTAAATGTGTCAAAAATCGGGTGAGCTATGGCCAATAGAAGATTTGAAGTTTGCTAACGGATTACTGTTATAAAGGCCCAGTTCATAAAGTTATGAACTGAGACCAAATGACAGAGGTGTGATGGGGCCAGAGCTTGTGCCCAACTGTCTCGGCCAATTCTTGATACCTTTAACTGATTTTGCAGATTTAGAGGTATTTCTTAATGCTTTTCAGGTTATGAGAAAAAATTTCAAAAATTCTAAAAATAGATTTTTGTGACGTCATCACTTGACAACTCTATCGACAAGAATGCTCTTTGATCCGAGAGATTCACTTTGAGGTAATTGCTCGACCCGATGTCTCTGTTTTTCTAGCCCGTCAAGCTTAGCAAATATTTCCAACAAAGTATTTGCATTCCAATTATTATTATTTTAACATTTTGGCTGCCACCGAATGCTTGTAAGATGATGAACAAAATGAATATGAAAGAAACTATTGATTGATAATTTTCCTTTATCTTTATTTTGAAAACTTATTAAAGGATTAAACCAGGCAAAAAATTGAAAAAGATTCTATAAATTAAATTTAAAGAAATTTTGATAGATAAAGGTATTTTAATCTTTGTTTAGCAAACAGTGGCTTTCGATGACGCAGATTCATGTGGTACTAGGCTAGTTTTTAATGTTTTATATGTTCACTTTGGATTTTGGGCGCATATTAGTTTTGTGTTTCGAAATTGTATCGATGCATTCATATTATTTCAATCAGCTTGATTATATTAGCTGCTACTCGTTTGTCTTAGTTTGGTGTTCCCCCTGAATCGAAGTGTGCAAACAAATGAAAATCTATAATAAACGATTTCAGGTTCATTAATTTTTATGTTTAGCAAAAGCGTAAATTTTCAGACACCTATTTGCCGTTTGTATACGTACAATACAACAATAGCACAAAACCATTAAAAACGACTACACTAATCCATCTACACTTTCTGTACTCCCATAGAAGGGTGGAAAATAAATTGTTTTTACTGTTAAAATGTGGAACAGTCCTGTAGTAAAGGAAGCTGAAGCAACAGGGATAGGGGAGAAACAAGGGGAAATAGTCAGTCAAGTTACTATGTCACAAGACTGGTATGATCTTAATTAAACATCAAATTGAAGCTGCAGTGGGAAAAATAGAAACAACAGAAATTTCATGGACATTTGTTCGTGGCTTGTTCACCCTGAGATAGACAGACAGTGCTGAGATTTGGCACCCCCTCCTGCAGGCCAACTTTGGATATCTCCGCTTCAAAAATAAATGCGCTCCAGCTATGGCATGAAAGGCAAGATGTTTGGACTATACATTTAATTTTAGGTTGTCACAATTTTCGACAGAAACTGGAAAGATCTATTTTTGGCTGTATAACTCTTTGGCTGCGCACTAAAGCTCGCTAGGGATGAAATAAGATTAAGCTTTGATTCATTTATTTTTTGTACTTATGAAAGCAATACTTCATAATAAAGTATGCTAAAAACATGTATTCTCTATCGAGCCTCGTTGCGATTTGGCGGGGGAAATCAATTCAACAACAACAACGCTGCCGTGACTGGCCTAAAGATGGTAGTAGAACTGATAATCGGAATAAGCCTTGTGTCGAGTAGCGGTTGCTGAAAGAAGCTGAACATGGGGTCGAAATATAAAGGAAATGAGATTAACGTAAGGAAATTTTTATTTCGCTACCAAAGGCGTATCTGTCATTAACCAGAGCCTCAAATAGATACGAATGCCTGACCCTGAAATTGAAATGCATTATATTATATACTGCTAAAGAAATCTTTTTTCCACAAACAAAATCAAACCTGACAAAGTAATTGCTCCCTTCAAACCTGACAAAGTAATATTTTAAGCAATTACTCCCTTCGTTTGGAAGCACGACCGATACAACATTTATCTCTAAAGGGAACACGGGTTTCTTTGTAGCACCGCAAACCAGCAAATAATAAATTAATCCAACAGAGTCACTTTGAGACAGTGGTGACTTTAATAATTCCACAACGTCGATATTTATTTTCCTTACTTTTTCGTTTCTACGAGACCAATAAAACTAAACATAAATTGAATTTATTCCTTAGCAAATTCAGATTGAGTTTCTAGGTGCCCGGAAATCAGATGCTTTTCATACATAAATGAACAAAAGTGTCACGAAAGACGTAATATTTAAAATAGAAAGAATAGAAAAAATGTTTATTACTGTCTCTTGAAAATCTGAAGACTAAAAGTATACTTTTTTCACCTTTTTCACCTGTGTTTTTTCTTCTTCTGCCAAATAGTCACAATTAAGACCCCAAATTGAGAAGTACTTTCTTTGATGCTATAGAGGACAACAGGCCACGAGCTAAGATTGAAGAGACAAACTAAGAACTCAGATGTAAAAATGTTTGTGCCTGGGAAAGGAGTAGGTTATAACAGTGAAATTCAGTTGATCAAAACAACATTATGGAACTTAGAAATGACACCATGCTCCAAGAGTGCAAAGTAAATTCTGTGGGTGGGGAACTTTTTTCTGCCACTTATGCTTGTCAGGAATTAATCATTGCAAAATAGCAGATTAAAAGCTACAGGATTTTATCTTTAAATAGCATTTTTAAGTCTCATGGTGAGGCTGTGTGCTGTATTTACATTAAGGTCTGTGCTGCAACTGTGCAGATTAACCTATATTTGCAAAAATGTGCGGACAGGACATGAGGAAAAAGTTATTGCAGGGGAATACTCTAGCTTTGCAGTCTGGGCTGGGTTAAGGCACTGCAGGGTTCTAGGCCAAAAATACTTTTGGGGCCCTATAGGAGTTTCAATGTGATGATAGCATAAAATCCATTTAAGAATTTTTGGACATTGAACAAATGATAAAAAGTGCATCATAAAAAACTTCAAAATTTGCAAAGTCAGAAAGATCAGTTACAGGTTTTGTGTGTTTTGATCACATATGACATGAGTATAGGCGTTTCCCTATCAAAGCACTGTACTTTGGTCCTTGTTCTAAAATGTATACAATTCAGATTAAAACTTCATTGATTCCACAACATTATTTACAATGATAATACTGTCAAGAAATACTAGAACAAAACATTTATGTATTCTTTAAAAACTTAAGGCTATTGAAAACTTTGAAAGCTTGAAACCTTGCCTATTAGACACTATAGTGTATAAGACACTGTTCAGGTGCTTAAGGTCATGAGTGTTCTGCATCAATTTACAGTTCAAAGTTTTGTTAGTATTTGAATTATTAGAATGAATGACCTGCATTAAAAAAGAAAACACAGTCCTTGCCCAGAAAGGCACTCGATCGAGCGCGCGTGCCTAGAGCACATCCAAAATATTCTTGGAGAGTGATTTATTGAGCCTTTCAAATTGTAAAAACAATATTACCACAGAGCAAAGTAAATTTTTGACATTTGTTGAATAAACTTGATCAAGCATAAACAATCTTCCTAACCGATGGCAATATAATGATTCCTCAAAGATTACCACTTGAGAAAAAATGGGCTTTATCAATAATCCGATACATGTTGCCATTATAGTTTTTTGCACCATCTGTTTTTTGCACAATCTTACACGATTGTCGTTCCATCTAGCAATTTTGGAATCTATCCACATAAGCACGGAAAAACCACAATTGCATAGACAAAAGGAGTTCATTTTCACCTTAGGACTCCATTGGTACATTCTCAATAGGCAAACGGCACTGATGTTTTAGCTCGATATTTTGCCAGCTTGATACCCAAAATGGGGCACAATGGTCCATCAAAGATGCTACAGTTTTCAAAATTCTCAATTGTTATCTTTTTACATATTGGGTATCTATTAATATCATGTTTTATGTGGAACCTGCCAGTTTTTGATAGCGCTGTTCTCCCTGATCAAACAAGTTCTTTGAAATGATACTTGAAATATTTACTTTTATAATGTATCACATTTATATATGATAAATGTGTGTAATGAATATTGTGCAAATCTGCCCATAGGTTCAAGGTACTAATGATAGCAGCATTGTGAGCAAGTGCTCTATGGCACATGTTGGCTACTTCAAAGATGTCTTTTTAGAGCATTTTGTTCAGAAAAAAGCAAGGAGGTCTCCCCTGATTAATAGGTAGATTTCAGTTTTTTCTTACAGGAAGCATTATTCTATTTACTTCTACTCATTTTAAAATGTCATGTAGCTTTCTTATGTACCTACTTAATCCCTCTTGAATGATAGAATTTATATTTTATGGATTGCGTCAAACAGTTGATTGGATAAAGAAGAAACTGAGATTGCATATCATGATTTACAACTGGAGTAGATAATGTACATAGATATACTAGATGATAATGTACATAGATATAGATATACATAATGTATATAGATGAAGTAGATATACTCCAATTTATTCTTCTCACTCAAGAATTCTTAAGAATTGCAAGACATTCAGCAAAATTGAGATGATTTGTTCTATTTTATAGGGGCTACTATGTCAGAGCAAGGGCTATGGACTCTGCAATAAATTTATTTCTTCAGCATTATAAAGAAAAGAAAAAGCAGGTTTGCAGTTTCACCTTTTTTGATTGACATTATAAAGGATCAAGAAATTTTTTGTGTAGATGGGAACTGGGGTTTGATCAATGCTGTTGAAGCTTATGCGGTTTTTTAGATCACTTTTGGAATTATATAGAACAGAGTTTTTTATACTCTTATATGTGTAAGGAATTACTGCAAGAAGTTATTATTCAAGTTTTTTAATGTATCAAGCAGTTATTATTTCAATACCAGAATCTATTCACATAATTACAAATACATAAGTACAAATAACTATACCTTTTTACTGCTTTTATGACAAACAGATCATTTCACTTGGAGCTGGCTTTGATTCATGTTATTTCCGTCTCAAAGATAAAGCTTGTCTTAGTAACACCAGATATTTAGAGGTGAGAGTCGATATAAAACGTTTTTTAATCTTTGACATGCTTTCGATAAAGAACTCGTAGGTCACTGGTTTAGGAATGTTGTCTCTTTAACTACATTATTGACTGCAAAAGCTCTATTAGCTTGGGAATACTCTAAAACCTTATCCGCCATTTAAGACAAACTCTTTAAGATCGGACCTTTTAATGCTAACCCTTGTGACGTCAACCCATTTTGAAACCATTAAGGTTCGGCGTTCAGCTGATAATGTATTCCATCACGAAATGGTATTTAGTCACGTTTGTTTAAAATTTTACCAGCAATCTTCCAGCGTATTACATAATTCATTTGACTCTTAACCAATAGAACTGGCTATATAAGTTAATGTGTGAGAAGGAAGAACCACAGGATAGGCTGTCCGCCGGATTCTGTGAATCTTGCAATGAGATTTTAAAATGAAAGATATACAGGAACAAAGCAATACGACGATGAGAATCCAATGTCACGAAATAAAATTTTCAAAATAAATTAAATTTAAAGAGTATACTACTCTAGAGATTTAAAGAGTAGACTATTTAAAGAGTAAAGATTATGAGTTAAGCTATTTTTTGCATACTGTTTTTGATGGCTGTTGTTTATACTGTATGTTTTTAATCATCTTAGTTGTTTTTTGTCTACTAAATGATGGTAACTTTGTACTTTTAGCATCATTTTAGAGCGAATAGTCAACGTCTCTTTTTGCTAGCTGTTTTGTTCAAACTGCTTGCCCAGTCTTTCATCTCTAAGCCTTTACTTACACTGTCTTCCGTCACACATAGGCAGAAAATACTATAGATTTTTCAGCAAATGGTCTGTGATTTGTTTACAGATGCTATTATCTTAATTCAACCTAACAGCTAGATTTTCCTGAAGTTGTCCAGCGCAAGATCAAACTTATCAAATCAAGAAAAGCATTGTCATCTCTAGTAGATGGAATAACAGCTAACCAAAACGGTACGTTGTATTTCCTTGATCGTATTTTCTGGTTAAAGGCAATGGAGAGACGCCAAATTGATTCAACCCATCTTTCAATCAAAAATAGTTAGTCAGCGAGCGTGATGCCATTAACAGGCTTATTAGTTGGTTAATATTGATTGATAGATGGCTTAAGCCACTGAAGAATCTATCGATTCTCTGTAATTTTCAAGGGGCATCGATGGGTGTGGTCGGTTTTGGATTTGGGCGTGGCAGTGGCGTCACAGTGACGTCTGAAAATTAAAAAAACAATTTGACTTTGAGGCCGAATAACTTTTTCTGTGTGTTAGTGTTGGGAAAAGCTGAAAAATATATTTCTTTAAATCTTTACAAGCCTTTTAGATCCAACATAATTTGCAAAGCTAAAAAAAGATACAACACTGATTGTGAAGGAAACAAGTTTGTTTATGGGTTTTTTCGGGTCTCTCAATTCCTATTTTCCTAAGTTTCTTCTAAATAATGCTTTTTTTTATTGTCGGATATAATTGAGTTGACCGATACATACACGAAATTTCCTATGTTGTTTTAATGCAATCTATCCATCATTCAGCTATGTCTAAGTTAGCTTTATGTTAAAATGACGTTTATAAGTTCTCATTGAAGACACAAAAAAAATTGATTAAAACAAAGGGAATATATTTGCAGATTTACAGCAAGCATACAAAACATTAGCAGAGCCTTGCCTATCTGAAAGGTTAATTCCTTTCTATATCCATGTTAGGATCACGAGCTTCTTGAACGAAGCTTACAAACGTTCTAATAAATGTGTTGGCGAGTCAGTGATGTCTACATATTTAGTGAATCTTTTTCTCGAGTCTCGAGTTTTAATAGAGTCTTTTTCTTAAATAACCTTCAAATATGATATTTAGATCATGCTTTTTGCTGTTTTAATGTTTCTTATATTTGGTTATTGTAGTATTCATCTATTTTTTAAATTTCATTATTGTAGAATTCATCTCTGATGATTACTCAATCGTTGGCTGTGATTTAACGAACCTAGATCGGTTGCAAGAAGTAATTAGAAAAGCTAACTTCAATCCAGAAGACTTCACACTGCTATTTTCTGAAGTCGTTTTGACTTACGTTGAGAAAAAGGGGTATAATGTTTTTGCTGAAGTATAGCACGAGACATGAAATTATTAGTGGCAAATAACAAGACCAAATATTCTTAAAATTTTTACCTTTATAAAATATTCACATCTGAAAACCCGTAAATTTTGTTCAGGGAGAAATTTGAATTTGAATTTGAAATATTATTATCATTGTTACTTGGTGTTTTGTTCTAGTGATGGCAGTTGTAGAAGCAATCTAAGCTGAAATATTTTTATTCTTTGCTGTATCGAAACACATAATATCCATTATTTCTAGTTTTGTGTGCTTTTGTAGCTAATTTGAAATTGAAATATTTGCTACACTTTTATCTTTTTCGTGTTTAATTAATGCTTTTTGTAGACATCTCAGGACTTAAAATAGTGGAAACTATTGGAATCAGATGTAGTTTGATAAGAAGTGCTATAACCATCGATGAATAGTTATCAATTTATTAACGTATTCTTTGAATTTCTAATTTTGTTATTTTCTCTTCATAGTTGTTCACGTTTGATTGAATGGGCAGCCAGGACATTTCAAAATTCAGTGTTTATCTTATATGAGCAGGTTGGTGCTTTTGGAACACCTACCCCTGTTCTTATTAATGCATTTTTATCTGAAAAGTTAAGAAACTGCTAAGGATTCCCACGACTGAGATTATTAAAATTACCATTTAAAATGGTGGTACCTTGCCTTGCTTTCTTTGTTTTATATATAATATTTTCAAGCAGCTAGGATCATTGATAAAGATCTGTCAATTTTCTGGATTCCTAGATGCTGAAATTATTACATCGTTGATACCATCGTGCAACAATGGTATTCCATACATTGTCGAATATTCGTTTGCCACTCCCAGTTGAATTCTGCTCATTTTTGATATGCATTGAAAGAGCATTGATACGATGCTTCACCATGTATCAGAAATCCTTGAACTAACAACGGTACAAACACAAACTAATTAATGTGCTGCAGTTTGTTGACATTTGGGTCCAGGCCCATCTAAGTACTCTGCTGTCTCTCTGCTTTATAATTTTGTCATTTGTTATTTTGTCAGCTTAAATCTACTGTAGAAATTCCGTAGACAGACATCGGTGGAACCAGAATTACTTTCTCTTTCTACATTTGTAGGCCATTGTCTGCAAAGTAGAAATTTGTCAAATAACAAGTAAGGCGACAAAAAAGGACATCGTGGAGTAATATTCCAGTTTCTATTGACGTGAATTCATTTGATAAAATTCAAAATATTGACATTCCAGTTAAGACGTGTAGTTTAGACAAAAAAAGATCAACCCATGAAATTACAGTAAATTGACCTTCCAGTTGAGACAGTCCGTGTAGTTTAGACAAAAAAAGATCAACCCATGAAATTACAGTAAATTGACATTCCAGTTGACACAGTCCGTGTAGTTAAGACAAAATTCTTGAACTTCACGTCTGTCTCAAACTAGGATGTCAATTTGTCTAAACTACACAGACTGTCTCAACTGGAAGGTCAATTAACTGTTATTTCATGGGTTAATCTTTTTTGTCTAAACTACACGTCTTAACTTGAATGTCAATATTCTGAATTTTATCAAACAAATTCATGTCAATAGAGGTTGGAGTACTACTGTCACGATTTCTTTTTTTTGTCGCCGCACTTGTTATTTGTGTGGTCGTTAAGCTGCATTTCCCAAAGTAGAAATTTATTGGCAAAATATTGTCACCCTGTTTATTTGAGCTTTTGTATCCTATTACTATAACAACGTTTCCCATTGGCTTTTTTTAGTCCAAACACTTTCTAAGGCTGTTCAAAGCTGCTCCAACAGTTAATCAGTTAAACAGTTAAACTTTCATGTTTATTTATTTAAATATTTCATTAACAGGGTCTTTCAAACTTAGCTGCTGGTATTCTAGGAAATGAATCTTCTTGATCAAAATAGCATATATTTCAGTTGTCTCATGATCGTATTAAACGTGAAACTCGGAGCTGCTACCATGCTGTTCTACGCACCGCAGCTCGTACCGCTCTGCCTACACGGCATCGAGCGCCAATGAAGCATTTTGTTTATCGGTATGCCATAAACCGATAAACAAAATGCTTCATTGGCAAAAGTTGTTATCAAAAATGTTATTCTTTATCTAGATACAACCTGATGATGCTTTTGGTGCTGTTATGTAAGTGTAAAATTGCTTTCTTTTTAATTCATTCAGATGGGCATTTTAAAGGCTTTACGTGCAGAAATTGTAATGTTTATTCGTTAATACCTTGTTCTTGTTAACACGCAAGGAGGTGTCAGCCTTAACTATACCAAAACCAATTTTCTTTATAGCATCTTGAATGATCTCCTTCACCAGAGATATTTTTCTCTATAAAAATACTTCACGTTTTCAATATTTATTTGATAGCAAAATTTATTTTTACAATGTCACACACAGAATAGGAAACTTGTTGGATTGCCGAGTATTAAGTATTCAAGGCGGGTCAAGTTACATTTTTCGTCGAGGATCTTTAGGTCATACATGGGGCTCATGTTTCTTTACATCTTGAAAGCAAGGACAAGAAACTTTACAAGAACAGCCAATTCATGCCAACTGTTTTAAGATATTTTCTAGTCCAGTTTAACATCATTTCTAACGGACTGAACATTTTTCATAATAATGACCGTCGAACAAATTCAAGCAGAGATGGATACCCTTGTTACCAGAACCTCAAGATACCGGGGATAAAATATTGTAGACCTCTGCGGTGGCATAGAATCAGTGGTGGTTTTAAGGGAGATCCAGGGGGCATGGCCCCAGTCCCCGCGCTTATGGTAGCCAAAAGGGGCCCCATACCTAAGAAAAGAGATTGTGAAGAACAAGGGCCTCGCAGATGTTTTTGACCCCGGGCCCCGCAGTCCCTACAACCGCTGATGCAAAGAATGAATGGATGCCGAGGAGGGGAAAGAAATTTTCCAAACCTCGCTCCAATAAATATTTCTGTGACTAGTTTCAAACTTTATTTCTGAGACTAAATAATGGAGGATTTGGCACCCAGGGTAAGAGATGAATTGATATTGAAATTAAGAGGTCTCAACCCCTTGTTGACACAAGAAGATGAAATTTTTCTTTTCTTTACTGTATACCATGGCACGATCTCTAAAAAAGTCAAATTGAACAAACGAACGAATGTAAAAGTAAATAAGCCATTCTTCCTTTCGCGTTACATCCGATCCGTCTCTTGATATAAATGTTCTGCTCACCTTTGGTCATTATCCGACTTTCATACTCTGAAGATTTTTGGACGATGAATACTGTAGTATGCTTTGTTTCTGCCCTTCCGTCCTATCTTCGAATGTCTTTGTACTGATAAACCTGTGCCCAGTTCGTACATTAATCACAAGTGCCCAAGTTAACATTCTTTATTTTCTCTAGGCTCAAACATTTTGAAACGCTTCAGTCGCCTCTAAGATGTATACGTGAATACCCAACTCTGGATTCGCAAATTCAGCGCTTCAAGACGTTGGTATGTGTATAAGTGATTTAGATAGAAATAGAAAAGCACGCTGTTTCAGAAAGAGAGTTGAAGAAATCATGAAAAATTACTAATTACTAATTTTACTTGAGAGCACATGAAAAGCTGCTAGCTTCCGTACCCACTCTTACAACAAAAAAATAAAACCCAACTTATTTTGTAACTTAACAACAGAATTAGAATTATTATGATATAGTGGTTATGTAGCGACTTCATAAAATTTATTATTAAAATGTTTGTTGGTTTTAGATTATCAAAAAACCTTTGAAAGATTCAGCAATTTTTTCACATGCAGGATTATTTCATTAACATTGACTGATAATACAAAACTTTTTAAAGTAAAGTTATATTTTTCGCTTCTGAATTTACTCTTCGGACCTTCTTTAGTACTTTTAACTATCATTTTTGTTTATCTAAATGTTAGTTTTTGTTTTTTGTCTTATATGAAATTACTTTTTGTTTTATAATTAGCTTAATTCATTAGACATAGAACATAAAATTATCTTGTTTATCAAGGGATGGCAACGCTGTAACGCCATGGACATGAATGAATTTTATCACAATATCGTTTCACAAGAAGAAAGGAATCACGTGGAAGATATTGAGTCGTTTGATGAATTTGAGGTGCGAATTTTTACATTGGGTAGCCATTGGCTGAATTGCTTTACTCATAACTTTAGGGGATACACCGATTCGAAAGAACGTGACTGATTCTCAACTGATAACACCTCTGGAGGGACCATTATGGAAACAAGATCGTTATGATCTTTTTAATGCTATCCCTGCCATTTTTAACCTGGGGTGTTTTTAGTCTATGTTTTTAACTTCTATCTGTAAATTTTATATATTTGTAATTAGATCTTTTTCTTAATTTTAAATTGTAATTTATTTGATGGCAAAATTATACATACATACATGCATACATTCAAACGACGCAAGTTGTTTTAGATAGGTTGTAAATGTATAATGTGTAAATGTCTTGTTAAGTAGGTTTCTTCATATATCAGAAATTTTCTTTAATTTATGCAAATATCTTGTTTGTCTTTCCTATTCTAAATAAGCACCATAGCTCACCTAAAATAAGTTATTATTAATATAAGTAAACGCTGAAATACACTCAGCGAGAGAAATTGTAATCTTCCGGGTCACCTCCTGAGAACTCTAGTAAAACGGAAAATAAACAGTTTACTGACATGCTTGCTTTTAGATGACCTTTCTCAATGATTTTATGCATGCAATTCCTGCTATTTCAGCTATTTTTACACATGTGAAATGTAAAATGGGGTGTATAACGTCGCCCATTATATTTCGACTGTATCATTGTTTTTTCAAAGGAATGGCACTTGAAATGCGCTCACTATGTCCTCGTCGCGGCATTCACAGGATCGTGTTGCCAGTTGGAAGAACGTATGTTTGCAGGTGCGTCCGAATATAATCTTAGTTTCTTTTTACTCCTGCTGCATTATCAATAAACCTGGAGTCCCCCTTATACTTCAAACTGAATGTGAAATTGCCAGGAAGCAGGCATGTAAATGCCGGGAGGCGTGTTGTGGGGGTGTAACACCTCCAATCTTCTTGAACTTTTTGAAACATTCCAAATATTTGATAATAATCGCCATAGTCTTAATGCCGATTATTATTTAGGTCAGAGAAAGTTGTTATATAACACTAATGCCAAAAGGATTCCCATCTTAGAATGAAACAGGTATAATGATGTTACCGTATAATGTTAATGATATTGACGCTCCGTAAGTATAAGCTTAAGTTTTTGTACAAAATTACAGTCGGTTCATTGTCAAACGGAAATTCATACCCTTTAAACGATAGGACAAAAAATGAAAAGTCAACGAATTAATCCGTTTTTTAAACAAATCTTTAAGTTTTTGCATTTTTTGAATGACCCATTGCTCGTTTACTTTTACTTGATGTGCTGCCCTGGTTTTTTAGCTGTAGAGAAAAATAGAACCAATTGTCCAAAAGCAGAATCAATTATATCGTGGAAATCAACCAATGAAAGCATGGAGTGCTTTAAAAGGTAACAAGAGATTGAACACACGGTAAACGCGTAATGAAGTTGCCTTGGGCCCCTTTAGTAGTGGCTCCTTAGCATGTGCATTGAATTTGACCTTCATATCAATGGGCTATCAAACTTTTGGTAATAATTCTTAATAGAGAAAATTAAAAAGACCTGACTGAACATTTAAATCATACCTCACAAAGATAATTTTCGTTTTGCAATAATTGTTGCTGGATATACCCTTGTCCTAAATGCTATGACAAGATCAGGAATGGAACTTTTAAGGGTGGTCTTTATGAACTCTGTCGACGAATTTTTAATTCTTATTCACGTTCTACATAAATTTACCTAATAGAAAAAGATTGCTAGAATTTGCGTGCTTGCTATTTCTTATCTTGCTTCTTGAATATCTAAAGCATGATTCCACACTATTAAGTTAAATACAGTCTGTAGCAATCAATCAAATCTTTGGTAACGATCGTCAACAATTTGACATTAAGTTTAATAATTAATAATTTTTCTTTCGTTAGGTTTGGCCATGAGCTCATCAGACTTGAAAGCGACATTCTTTTTCTAAACGGGGGTTTTGGCTGCTCAAGTGGCAAGCATCAAAGGCTTGGGGATGGTGTTGTTTTAAAGCTAAATCAAGGTAATCGCTGCAAACTTTACAGTTCTCACCACCCACAACCTTATTGCAAGAGTCATTGCTAACAATGGGCCTTTGCGAGCGTGGCGACGGTCCAAACAATGGCAGTAATGATTTTAGACAGTCTAAAAATGCATTATGGGATGCTTACGTAGCGCAATGGCTCATTGTTAGCAGTGAGTCTTTAAGCCCTCCATATAAAAGTTAGTATAACTTTAAAGGCGCTATTTCTTGCCAAATGTAGATAGTTGTATTTCACATCTGCTCACTTCTGGCTTTACGATCTCTCACCTTTTTTACAAAGTTATTGACAGCAATGTTTACAATTGCGTTTAGCTGCTTCCTTGAATTTCCTGTTATTTCGCCCAGTAATCACATTTTTGATTATAAAAATAAAAGCCCCATTTCCTCACATTTGTTATGTTTTACAAGCCTTGACACAGCTGTTCTGACATACGCCTAAAAATGTCACAGGTTTTATCCAATATTTACACCAATCCCCTTCCAAAGTTGGAAAATAAATGTTTTGATAGCAGCGATATAAAATAAGAATTCTATTGGGTTTAAGATAGAGTCGAGATGAAAAATCTTTACCCCCCCCCCCAATAGAGATTCAAGCTTCTAATTTTAGTGAAATTTTCTGTTTTCAGCTTGCTCTATCAATGCTTTACATTCTGTTACATATCAAGGCTCTATCAATATTTGCATTGTGGGTAATTATTACTCCAGAAGAACTTTCTCTCTAAAGCTCTAATTCAGGTTTGCAATATTTCAACAGATAAAACTGCAAATGGTTTTTACAGTTTTCCGGTTCTTCCAAGTGAGTTTTTTTCACATTTTGTTTAGGCCTGATCTTCTCTAATTTTTTTATATATCAACTCCACTTATAGATATTATTTTACACGAAGTACTTATTCACTAGCTTTATTGATTTTATGCAAAAATAACACAAATACATCGAGATATTGACTTTTGTACTCACTCTGGTATCCACTCATCCCCCTGTCCTTGTTTTTCTTTTCAATGCTGGTGATAAAAGAGATTTGTACTATCAATGCTAAGGAGCTTCCCATTCACAAGAGCGAGTCATCAAAATCACCAAGGCTCATGCGCGCATCCTATTAATAGACAGTAATTTACTTCTTAAAGTAATCATGTCTTTGCTTATGTAGATTAGGGTCGAGGCCAGCGTTTTGTTTCCTTAACTGTCCTGTAATGAGGTATATAATTTGTAAGGCAAGGAATATTAGTTAGAGATCATAATAATTGTGGCTGGTTAAAGGTTCAACAAGATACGATCTTAAGAATTCATGGATATGTCAGGTGGCTTGATTTTTAGCCTAATGTTTGCCTGTGAATAAAGCATTCGTTAGCAGCGAGTAAAGCATGTCTGGGGTGATGAAAATGGCATGATGATTATGTTTTAGGTATCAATCTCCACGGGGTACTCAAGATACCCAATAAGGGTTTTGTATATTGCTGTTAAGACTGAAGCTTTGTCATCTAAAGATATGGTTGCCTCCTGCTTTGCTATTAGGGTTTACCTTAATGCCATGCGGCCATTATTCCAATAACATCTCTGAGACGGGGGCTGCCTCCATTTTTTTAGAACTGTAGGTTCTCTAGGTTCTACCAATATAACATAACTAGGTTACCTTTGTTGTGTAGAAAAAGACGGCTTTAATTTACATTATCCAGTTTCACACTTATTGCGATCTTTAGAGCTATTTTCATGTCCGTCAACATTTTTTTAGCTACCTATGATGTAACTTTAAACAGTCTTATTCTATTTTGACAATTACTTTCTTTTTAATTATTAGCGTCTAAATATGTATTTAATGTTATAATTAATTGCTGGAAATATATATGAAATGAGACAGTAACTTATACGGCATCGAGCACTATATGGCAGACTGGTAAACAGAACTTTTCAAAAGCTGGTCATTAAATAATCAAATAATTGATATCTAGCAATTTAATCTAGCTATTAATTTGTAATTTGGCAAACCTTTCTCAAAAGTCGGTTATGAATGTTATCTGCAAGACTCAGCCTATTGAAATCTTTTTGCTATTGACATTTTATGACAGTATTTCTTTTAATTATTAAAGACAGCTTTCACTATCTTCACAAAATGAATAAGGTTGTGATCATACTCTCAGTTTCTCTGCAAATCTAGACTTGTTTGTGATATTTTTGTGCCTAGAAACAGGTATTTGCTTCTCTGCCTGCATGGACCATTTATAATCCAAGTTGTTAATCCCTGAGCTTAAAATCTAACGTCTTTTGAATGAATGATTTCCCAGGAAACGAATAATACTTTCTTGTCGTCGACTCGAAAAACAGTTTAAAAATTGATTTGGAAAAGCAAATATTTCAAGACACAATAAAGCTCTTCATCTGACACTAACTGGGCAAAAGTGACTGGGCAACCTTTTCAGTTCCGAAGTCACATTTCTGATTGGCCTATTTCGATCAAAAACTAGGTATATATCTTTCCTAGCTTTGAATTTTCGATAAATGTTCTATAGATTTTTACTCTGTTGGGTGTCAGACAAAAATCTTTAGTATGTCTTCAAATGTTTGCTTTTTTCAAAGCCATTTTTCAAATTCTGTACCTCAGTAAATATATTTTAGTATCTAGAATGTTTTGTTTTCGTAATCAGAGAGCCCTCGTTTAAAAGCGAGCCGAGGTGCTTTATGAAGCCTTGCAGGTACATCCCGGTACAACCTACGGCTGTCTCCTTTTCCCAAATGGTCTTATATGTTATCATTCCACAGATGCATTTAGTTTATGTAAAATGTTAAAACTGATTAGAATTGTTTTTATTTCGATTTATAGTATTGTATTTAAAATTAGCCTATTTCACTTACAAGTTAAACGAGATTTTATTATTTAATTTCCATAAAAATACTTGCATCAAATCTGTCAATATTTTACAATATTCTGTAAAAATAGAGTTAAATACTATTTCATCCTGGCATACGGGGCTTCTTTGGTGTAAACAATTAATAGTTTGAAGTGGTGTCTAGTAACAAAAAGATTTAGGAAGGAATTTAGGACGAAATTAAATTAGCTAGTTTTTCAAGGGAGTTTGCAAACTTGACAGTCATTTCTATTACTAACATGAGCATAACAGTACCGATTTTTCATATAAATAATTATTTCTCTGTCTTTCGCTAAATCATCATTGTCGTGAAATTTTCATTCATTGATCATTAGTTTTGACTTTTAAAATCTTTGATTTTCTTGTACCAGGCAACCGAGTATTCCACACTACAACGCTACTGAGTGACGGATCGATATTCCTGTTTGGAGGAAGAGAATCTCCTTTAAAGCCGTGCACTGATTATGGGATATTTCGATTGGATATTAAAGTTGATTGTGGTAATACTGCAGAAGTAGTTGCTGCTTCATACTCAGAATTCATATGGAAAGGAGCAATAAGGAAAGCTGCAGTAAGCAACGATGCAGTCACCAGGGTTTCAAATGACACAAAAGACGATCCTAAGAGATATGAAGCAACTGACGTGGTGGAACAGCCTTGCTGTAGATGGCGACATTGTGCTGTGGCTGTTTGCATAGCAGGTGTAAACATTGGGATATTTTCTGAACTATATTTTTTGCTCCCCTATTTTGCGCTTCTATAACACTTTTTATATTTATTGCATATAAAAATTCACAAGACAAGCCTACCTATTACACTACTTATAAGCTACTCTACAAACACTACAGAAATGATATAACATTTTTACAGTGCGCAAAAGTGAAAGTTGCATTGCAAAGGCAGTTGTTGCATAGCTTGATGTATATTTGTTTATATTTAGGCATCGTGTTGGCTAATTATCAATCTAGCAACAGCTCTAAAAAGGAACATTTTGAAACATTTATAAGCTTATCTGAAACCTAAAACTCTTCAGGGTATAAAACGTCGAAAGCTCGAAACATCTGACACCATTTTGGAATTTTGTACCACCAAAAATTATTTGCAAATATAATTTCTTTGATGATTGAAGGGAATTCAAAAATCTGGACTAGCAGAATTTTTCTCTCATAAGAACGAAGCAAAAAGTGAAAGGCATTCACTTAAGACAACTTTAGGTCGCCAAATGTCTTCTTTGCGAAGGCAGATAAACACCCAATAGATGTATCAAAGACAACTTTCTATCGTGCTTTTTTTATATTAGAATCTTTGGCTATAGAATTGAAATATTGTAAATTAATAAATAAATATATTTTCATAAAGATGTTTTAGTACAAACTATTTTTATGAAGTTCTAGGTGTCTTAAAAACTCAGTCGTAACGGTGAAAAAAATTTTAACCTAGTTTTATAATTTGTATAAAGGTGAAGAGTATGTGTTGATACTTGGAGGAAGGAATGAAATGAAGGATACATTGTCTGATTGCTGGCTTTTTCACACAAAGAAACATAAATGGAGAAAGGTACTTCTGGATTTCTATTTCAAACTTGCCTAATCAAATTGGCTTTTAGATTTAGATTTTCCTACACAACACTTTTTCCATCTAAGTTGTGATTATTTATTAATGCGGAAACTTTTCAATGATAAAATCTGTATTTAAAGAGAGTTAATAGAGTTCTAAAATGATGACGTCACAAAAATCTATTTCTAGAGTTTTTGAAGCTGGATCCCATAACCTGAAAGAGCATCGTGAAATACTTGTAAATTTGTAAAATCAGTAAAATGTCTTTCGAATTGGCTGAGATATGGTCACATTTGCATTGGCTCTTTCCCCCATCAAATCTCTGTAATTTAATTTTTGTTCAAAACTTTGTGAACAGAGCCAAAGTAACACTGATTCGTTAGCAAACTTCAAATCTTTCTTTTATGCTACGTGGTTGAAATTAAAAAATTCCAAAATTATTTTTTGTGACGTCACACTTTATTGCCTGTTGTCAATTTGTTGATCGATATATTTTATATAAATATGTAAAAGAAATTTCTTTGATACTGTCTTTTGCTAAAGAAAATGTTCATGTCTGCATAGGTTTTCGATTGCCTGCTGTAAACCTCAAATATATATAGTTGGGCTAGATTTACCTTGTCACTTTTCTGTTGTTATTAGGATCAAATTCCTTTCTGTAGAATCCTTTTGTTTATTCGAAGTATTGCAATGAAAAATTGTGAAAGTAAAAATGGGCATCAAACTCATGGGCCAGGGGCGTCTGCATAGGGAATGCTGTTTACGTTTGAATTCTCTTTTTCGAAAGCACAGCCCGATTAAAGGGGAAAAGTTCAGGATTTCAATACGATGCCTTTTTCTTCTCAGGTATTGTCCTGTATTGTCAAGCTGTCCAAATGCCTTACTTTTTTTCAAAAGCAGTGCAATCCACGTCTTATACATATCTCTTCAAATGTTTAACCCTTAGAAACAATCCAGATTTATATCTGTATCTGTCTAAATATCATCTTGGTTTTCTAGGTTTGCTTGCAAAGTGATAATGGTATTGTGAAAGCCCGGCATTCACATTCAATATGCAAATGGGGATCTGGAAAACTCATTGTGAGTGGTGGCCTTGACAAGGATTCGCAGCCAATGAATCAGCTTGAAATTATTCATTTGCAAGTATGTAGCCTTGCTTATCCTCCTACTTCTGTCAGTGCCTAAGGTTATGGATGCAAAGGCATATAACCACTTTATATACTCTTAAGATCATTAATTCTGCCTATGGTATGATGCTAATTTGTATTGACAGAAATTGATAACCAAAGTGTGACGTCAGCAAAAATATAGTTATAGAATTTCTTAATTTTGACCAAATGATCTGAAAGAACGGCATCAAATACCTCTCAATTTGTAAGACCAGGTAGATATGTCTAATATTGGGCGAGATATGGCTAATAGAAGATTTCCAGTTTGCCAACGGGTTACTGTTATTCTGACCTGGTTCATAAAGTTATGAACCAAGACCAAATTATAGAGGTTTGATGGGGAAAAGGCCAATGCTTATGTGACCATATCTCAGCCAATTTTTAACACGATCAACTGATGTTGCACATTTAGAGTTATTTCATAATGCTCTTTTGATGTATCGTCAACATTGAAAAAATCTAAAAAAAGTTTTTTTGTGACGTCATCACTACGGCCCTAATGGTATGTTTACAGGAATGGTTGAAAACACTGCTGAAACATTTTAACAGTACATCATGCTAATTAGCTAATACGATGTTATTAATTACAACAAGACAATACAGTTCCCCTTTTTGCTCTCTTTTGTTTGAAAGGGTGGTCTTTAACAATTGACCTTTACCTCTCTCATCAATGATATTGCAAAGGAATCCAAAGTTAGTAATTTTGGTATGGGAGCATCCATATAAACCATGAAAATTACTATATCTAACCCGTTTATTTCAAGTTGATGTGATAAACGTGGGGATTTCAGTTTGCATGCATAACATGAATGCTTTCATCTCTTTATCGACTTTTGATTATTATTTTTATGACTGTTTGAGCTAAAATTAGGGAGCTTTACCTATGTGTACACATTTTCAGGGAGTGGACGAGATGTTTCTTGAAACAGTTCAGTTTGAAAACTCCCTACCACCAAGGTATGTACCAATCCGTTAGGATATTATGAAAAACGTTCCAAAACAACGTATTTCTTCTGCCTAAACGATTCGATAATACCAATACACTAGAATCCTGTTATTAGTGTTATACCCTGGATGACTCAGACACTCGCTAAGTCGGACCATTTCAGAAGATCTAGCTTAATAAACGAAATGAACAACTTAGTAAATTCTTTTAAGGAAAATTTTATTTGATTATTACCTCGGAAAGGTTTTTCGTCAGTGTATTTAGAAATGTTGCTTTTTGAACAGAGTAAGGGTGTTCTTGTTGGAAAATTGAAGGTTGAACACATTTTTCTAAGTTGCTCTTTGCATATACCAATTGTAGAAAGTATGTTGACCCTTGACTCAAATGTATTGTTGGACTTATTTCTCTTGTGAAACTATGCACACGTAATGCATTCAGCCATTTTAAATTCAAAATTATTTTTTGTGATGGCAGAAAAGTTTATCTTGTTGTTAAGATGGTTAGAAATTATGCAATATTTTAGCATAGATTTGTATTTCATTTCCGATAGATAAAGCCATGGGAAAAAAATTCGCTCATAATTTTAAAGCTATCAAATATGCACTGTTTTTTCACTTTAGATAGTTAGAGGAAACATGCTTGTGAACAAAATGGTGTTACATCGCTGTGACGGCATTATATTTGTTAAAATAGGCTTTTGTTGTTCGAACTTCAACGTGTTCTGGTTAATTTTGTGCTAGATACTCTCACACTTCACACGTGGTTGGCGACGAATTATGGCTAGTTGGCGGTGTTGCATTCGAAATTATACCTCAGTTTTTGGTTATAAATCCTCAAAAGCGATACTGGAAAGAATATCAGTGGCAGGTTTGTGTCAAATGCTTTTTCTGCGTTTTTAAGTATTGTATTTACTTGCACCTAACTCTAGTCAGTGGTGCTGTAGAGGGGGGCTCGATGGCTCAGCCCCCTTGTTAAAATTTAGAAAGATATTTTTGGGCGGGGGGAGGAGGGCTCAGCCCCTCTTAACAGTTTATGTTAGGTTAGGTGAATTTCTTACCTGGGAATATGAATTAACCCTTTGTGCTACTGATTTTCCGTGATAGAGCAATTTCTATGAGCCTTTTATAGTTGGTGAATAGTTTGAATGATCTCATATTTACACAACAGAGAATCTTTAACATAAATGCATGTATATTGGGTATGACCATGGGTGTGGGCTTGGGTGTGGCTTCTAGAAGTTTCCTACAGCACAAGCCCCCTTCCTAACTTTTTAGCACCGCACCCCTGACTCTGATAAGCACCAGGCACCGCCCACCGGTCTTAAAGTTAGGGGGCTGAGACGGAGGCTTAGGGGCTTACGCCCTTTGCGCGCTGAAAAACGCCTTTTTAACAAAAGGATTGCTTCTCTCCATCCATATCCATAGAGAGTCTGATTCAGGAGAAGATTCCAATTAACATGAAAATAGATAAAGTTAGCCTAAGGATAATTAAACACCAAGTAAGACCAAGTTAGAAGATTCAACTTATCGTTAATCTAGATCATAATCATGATCATCAAGATCATGAGCAAAAAGGGTTTCTAGTTACAAAGAACTGCTACTCCTTAAAATCCGTTAAAGTAAACTTTTCAAAGTTGCGTTAGAGTTATCTTTCCAAAATTTTCCTTATGCAAAAAGGGGGGGGGGGAGGAGGAGGAATTCTTAGCTCCTGCTATACCAATGGCTGCGCGGTGTCTGATTAGGGCCTCCATCTAAGAAGCGCTACCCTATAATTAGCGCCGTTTTTTCGTACTTTGTAGAAAGCGGTGTACAAAACGTATGGTTTTCTTGCAAAAATTGCGTTGCCGCAATATGAATAAATATTTTATTTTCTTTGACTGACTTTTCAATATATAATGCCCTCTAAACAGCTCCGCACCTTTGATGACTTGCTTTTGAATATCGCTGCATGGACGCATAGACGCTAATTAGACCTCATATGCTGTGATTACTTTCTTTTCCAATTTGATAGCTCAATCAAAGATTCTCATGATTAGCTTCTAAGAACAGGTTCTGATATTCAGAAAATTTCTTGCCATTCGAAGTTTGATGGCCTAGAAAGAAGCTCCGCAGCCAAGAAACCTTTTTTAATCTCTTATGTACCTAGTTCACACTTAGGTTAAGTAATTTCGTCCCACACACCTTAGTGTGAATGATAATGGTGTGTAAAACGTCGGGTTATAACTAAAAGCTAGCGGAAATTTTCATTCAAGTGCAGATGAAAAATAATGCGAGAGGAAGAATGGCACGAAAAGCAAGTTTGGTTCCTAGTTGAAGAATCTGAGAGAGAAACGAACTTGTTCCGTCTTCACGATAATATTTACTTAACCTAGGAAAACCTTTTCCACTGCCTCTGTTACGAATCTGGTACCCAGGGTACGCCTCTGTTTGAACAAACCAATAGCTATAGGTTTTCTGCTTGTTAGACAAAGGGGATCTTTTCACACGCAAACTAGTGGGGAATTTCCCCACCATGCCCTAAAATTTCCCCAGTACTTGGCCCATGATTCTTCAATAGCGGGTGTCCTTTTGCTGAAAATTTGTTTTTAAACCCATTACTGCTTGTTGTGTCGTTGTCGTTTTATGTATGTGTCAAATTATGAGAGCTACTTCTTTCGTCTCATCGTAAATGTAAATCCCTGACTTTGTTTGATTTTCTTGCACTACACCAAAGCGAGGTAATTCAATTCGCGGGAGAAATCTTTGACAGTTTTGCTTGCGTCATTGTCCTGCAAGCATGCAAAGATCCAAACGCTCGTTATTTGTCTGGCTTATATATATAACTTTTCGCTGCATCAATGCTCACTCCCATGCAAACAAACTTAGCAAATAACAGAAAACTCAGAAAAATATGAGTGGCAAATGGACAAGCCGTGAAGGCAAATGGACACAGAAAGTGGACAGAGAAGATACCAATTTCAATAAAGAGGCTGAAAAAAGACTTAAAAAGGGACGAAAAGATGACCTGCACAACGGTACATGTATCACTAGGACGAGATACATTGAATTTAACGCAAACAGTAAAATGTTCAATGCAGGGATGTCTTTGAAAATGGCTGAGCTCAAAATGTGACATTTTTCTGAAAAGCGCCAGTAAAACGCTGTTTTGTTTTTTTACTTTTGTGTTATTCTTCCTAAGAATTTACGACTACACTACTGGGAGGAAAGACTGATGTGCAAGACCTTGAAGCCTTACATACTGTGCATACCCCTATCTATGGCGTGCATATCCCGCCAAAAAAACAGGCTTTCTAAAGTTTAAACTTTGTCTGAAATTTAGGTACTGTCTTTTCAGCAATATTTAAAGTCGTTCTTATTTATTCTATTTATTTTCTAAGTTTCAGTTTGTCCTTTTTTTGAGTACTCCAACTAAAGTTTTACTGACTTATTATGTTTCTAAAGTTTCCGTGACTGCTTATTGTTTCAAAGTTCAGCGGAGTTTCTTAAAAGATCCACTGGTTAGACAGGATGATAGGCTGATAGAGACGCCAGATATATATCATCTTGTTTCATATCTCTAATATTTTCGTAATGTTTTTAATCTTGGCTGTCTTTTTTTATCAGTTTATAAAAAGTCGCCAACGTTGTATATTTTAATTCAGAAGGAACGTCAGTATAATGTGTAATTTGATCGAATCGCAGCAGAAATGATAAGTGCATTCGATTGATAACGGCCCAAGCATCTGCAGTTTGCCTGCTGCGAGACAGGAGCACTACTCAGTTCGTAGGAAAGCTGAGTTGTTGTTCGAAGAAAGCAGCTATTTTCATTAAACTGCGATGTTGTCACTGATATATTCCTTTAGTTTTCTTTTTACGATGCAAATATTTTAATTTCCCACTGTTTCTGAATAGGCGACACAGTCACAGATCATATGTTATTTCGAAAGCTTATCATTAAATAGTCAACATGATTTTCAAAACTTAGACTTTAAGCATTGCCTTGCTAATTATCACTGACATACTAATATGGTCTTGTGTTTTCAAATAATGTTTGGCCGCGAAATAATACGAAATTTTGGTGAAAAATTCTAAGATCCTTGTAAGGCATATCAACGCAATCATTATCTCTCAGTCAGATCTATTCAACCTAGAATTCGCTTTGGCAATAGCAAATAAAAATCTATGTAAAATGTAGTTTTTCTCAACACTCCTGACGTAAAAAGGATTTTGTTTTGTTTGTATGTTCTGTTTTTTTTCTACTAGTTTTTTCCTTTATTGAAAATTTTAAAACCGTATTCATTAATTACTTTCATTTAGAACGGAAGCACATTTATTATTGATAGCATCATCTTTAATTATTGATGGTTTTTTGAATAGCATAGAAATCATAAATGATGGGCAGGAGATATGATTAGTATAAATTTGCATGGTACTTGATAATAACTCCATTCTCAAGGCAGCGGCATGGCAAGGAAATAAAGTTGGGGATATATTGAAAAGGGGTCTGGGGATGATGTCACTGTCTCTTGGCATTTTGAGGATGACACTGTGCCTTTTGATTGTAATGTTGTGGTTCAGGTAAACGATAAACGCATAATTTCACAATTCACGTTGTGAAAGCAGGACCAGCGCCAAGAATTTGAAAGTGGGGGCTAAGGCTAACAAAAATGGCTGGCCAAGGCTTCTATAACCCCCCACCCCCACCCCCACCCCGGTAGCATGGGCCCAGGAAAGGCTTCCTAACCTGTTGCTTGTTTATCACTATCCGCTAGCCTTTCGTTCTACGATCAGCTGGATCCATCAATTTGTTTGATGGGTATTTTGTTACTCATAAACGCTTATCAGATGGGGTAACCCAGATATACCCACAAAAAATTGTTTAAAAAGGTATTTCATGCAACACAGTTATCATACAAGACAACAATGACAATGAAGCAACGTTTTCACCCCAAGGACCCAGGGCCTTTTTTATGGAAATTTTCCAAGACCACACTTTAAGAAAAGAAGGCTGTATATGAAGCATGGAATTTCAAAATATCGACCGTTGCCTTAGAGAGCGTTTTTCTTTATTCGTGTAGAACAAAATATTCAACATAACACGATTACAAATATGTTTCTATTATAGCCTATTCTTTATGGACTCCGACAGTAACAGTAGTTAAAGGTTAACATTGCTAGAAGCTCTACAGCTTCACTTCAACTTTACTGGGGTTTTATTTTTGCGTTAGCGTGAGAAGATGATCTAGAGAATCGATATAAAAAATTAAGGACAATAACCCCTGTGCAATTATTGAACAGAGTAAAAGTTTGGCGAATTTAGGCTACCTGTATGCAGTCATATCTCCAGTTTAGGAGCGTAGTTCTAAAATGCGCACGATAAAAATCTAGAACGACCCTTACATATTGAAAAAATCATAGACTTATTTTGCCTTGAGAATTTTTCGCTTGCAGCAGTTCAAAGTTTGTAGTGCACTTTCACGCAGCTTGGTGGCTGTCTGGCCGCCATTGTTGTTATTGTCGCTAGATTCAGGGGTCTTTTACAAGCTCTGATTGGCTTTTACATCATTTGAGAGCAAAAAGCTGATTGGTTGTAACATTTTTCGCTCTTGTTAGACCAGATTAATCTGGACCAAGGAACTTGCACTACGATTCATGGATGTTTTGTACTGTTCTGTTATTTTATAAAGTTTCAAAATTGTATCAACAGAAAAACATATTTATAACTAAAACTCATTCCACAACGAAAAAACCCATTCCACAATTTTGAATTTTTCAAGACCACATTTTGGATTTCCAAGACCACAAAATGTGGGAAAAACCACACTAAAATAGGTCCTGCAAGGACACGTTACAGGTGTTGTGTAAAAGCTGGGAACACATATTTCGTAGGTTTCCATGCTTTGCAGTATATCCAAGACAAAAAGAATTTGAATTGTAGAAACACACAGCAGTTCGAGAGTACGTTGACTAGGCACAACTTCCAACGAGGAGTAACCTGTGCAGGCCTAACTTCATTTTCGGGGCTTCTACAATTTAATCTTGATAACCTGATAACTGGCAAGCGTTATCAACTGTTTAGAATGATACACACCAGCAATTAACATCAAACATTTTAATGAGTATAGAGGATTAAATTTTTTAATGGATTACCATGTTTAAATTTCTGACTCAAATTGCATTCAAATTAAATTTCTGACTCAAATTGCGTAAATTTTCTAAAAAAACGGAAAGCATGTGCCCCCCCTCCCAAATACCCAAAATTCACCACAAAAGCAAACAATCAGTTGCTCAGTGTTTTACGTTTTTCTGGATCAGAGCAACCAGGAAATTTTTCTGCCTCAAGTTTATGGCTATTCTTACTTCAATAAGTCGTTCTTTGCATTAGATGGCAAACACTGCCATTGGTTTTTGGGATCAACTTTTGTACTTGCTGTTTTGAAGTCAACTGTTTCCAAAGGGATCCCGAAGCATTCAGTCTTCTTTTTTGACAAAGTCTTATTTTTCCTAATCACACAATAGAATTTTAATTAAATTTCGACTACACACATTGCAAAAGTATCGATAGAAATTTCCAAAATACGTGGCTGCTGCAAAAACGGCTTGTTTATTGCAGCATGAAATATTTTATCATAAAATTTTCAACAGACCTTAATTACATTTTGCAAGTAAGGCATCCATTGAGTTATTCACTTTTTGCTTCTTGACTACATCTTATAAGCTGAAATATACCCATAGTATAAGTTTACATGACTTTATTTAATAGTTGTAGCATTTTCAATATTGTAACATCATAATGTGACAGTGTCACGTGACGTTATTGAATCAGACATAGTGTTAGACAAATAAAACATATCCTGTTAGTTTTAAAGTTTCCAAACGTTAACAAATTGAAGTTGATATTCAAATATTGCACGTTTCTGTTAATTGGAATGTCCAGCTTTAGTCCCATATACTTTGCACTTCAATATGCGGTTGAAAAACGACACTACACTAAGATTCAGGGTGATCTAATATTCAACAGTCACAACAAATGAAATTACAGCGACATGTTTGTACAAAGCGTAGATTATTAATTCTGGTTTCATGTCATCTCAGATTCTTCCAGGTAGCTCTTTCATTATGCTCTTTTAGTATGCTCGCTCAATAATGAATTACCGCCTTAATTAGACATTTTGTAATTTCCAGCATTGTAAAAGAGTGGTAATGTACAATGGGCCATCCGTACAGACAGACATCAATTTGAATGTCCCCAAGAAAACGGCGACGGACAGTGACTCGTATGGCCTCAGTAAACATCCAGAATGGATGTGGTCTATTTTCCCTTAGTTTTAGCCCCATCATCTCCTCCGCTACCAATGCTTGTAATATTTGCTACGTACCTGGTAACATTTAAAATGTAGTACCTGTCTTACCAAAATGTTTTGGGATGGGGGCTTATTCGAAGGGGAGTGCTTATTCGAAGGTAGGGGCTTATTTAGCAGCAGCCAAATATATTACCAGGGTAACTTTCTTCCTTTTTTCGAAGTAGGTCAGTAACCTGAGGCAATTTCCTAAAACGCTTTTCATGACCTTCAGTTGGGAATCGCTAAAATTGGTATCAGTGCCGCTAAAAGGGGCGTGAGAATGATCGAAGAAGGACGCTATAGAGGTAAAGAGCCACAGCGCCATTAGCCTTTGTCATATTTTTAATCGTCACATACTTTATTGTTTGGAAGGGGAGACTTTAAACTTAAGGATTTATATGTTTTGTTTTTAGGTACCATTTTCATAAAAATTTTCTTGTTTTTAGGAGAAAAACAGCACAAACTCTACGCTAATGCTTCACAATCATGCCTCGGTTCTTTGTCGCGATGAAATTCTTGTTATTGGCGGTGGAGGCAACTGCTTCTCCTTTGGAACACATTTTAATAAAGGTATTATTTCTATTAAAGTGCCAGAAACTTTTTTAATGAATAGTGATAATGTGTAAAGAATCTTATGTAACTATGGATGGTTTTATCTTAAATGAAAAATAAACAGAGCTCATTATATTCAATCTGAAACATCCTAATTAAAAACAATTCCTGGTAAAGGTCAGGTTTATAAACCTCGGAAAAGCCATGGGTTAGCCAAGACATTTTTGAAAACACGGTATGGAGGTTTGTCTTTTGTTTTCAAAACCATTTTCTTCTGCTAAGAAGCAAACATCACTCGGGTGTTCTCTGAAGTTTTTAAAACTCAGAGTGGCGTTACATTGTGCAACCGTACCCCTGGCTTAACCCTATCCCCTCTCTCTTAGCACCGCTCTTCGTACTTGCTGTCTCTCTTCAGTTTTCTCCTTTCTTTTTCCCTCGAAAATTTGAAAATTCTGAATGCTGGCATTATAAAACCAAGCGTCATCACCATACAATCAAAGGTAACTGGTAGAAAAAAACTTAAAGTGATTTTATCAGCCCTCTGAATTTCCCGTGAGTTGCAAGTCTGTTCAAACTCTGTCCCAAGTGTTTATCTACTGAAATAAAACTCTTCTACTTGAAACAAAACTCTTCTGATTTGACTCTTTTACTACAAAACCGCTTCACAATAGATTACGAGCTATCCAAGTGATATTTTTCCCTTTCAATCGGTTATTTTATTCATAGACACGCTCGTATCATTTACAGTATTTAGACATAGTCCGGATATCTCCTTCGACGTAGTGATTCATAGGAGAAGACACTCCTATGAAGGATAAAGAGGCCTTTAAGGATGATCATATTTGCGAAGCCTATATAGAGCGAAGCATTGAAGGAGCAAAGCATATATATTCTTAATCCAGGAGTTTTATAATCCCATGTCAGCGCACATATTCAGTAATTTACCGCTGAAATAAGGAGCAGCAATGTCAGATGAGAGATTATCAACTTGGGTATGTGCAAACACATCAAGATATTTAACAGTCGTGAATGTTTAAACTTTGGTCTATTTGTTAGCATTATACTTCGGTTATTAACCCTCTTTAAAACGCATTGCTTAGGAAGAAGAGAAACAAAATTTAAGACCGAATCGTCCGACCAATGTAGCTTACTACATAAACCGAATCTGTAAAACCAAACATTTTTTCTTTAAATATCGTAGAAGAACGGATCTTGGACTATAATCTTGCGTAACAACTTAGCATTTGCATAAAGTAAGCTAGAAAATTATTTTTGAAAATATATGGAAAAACAGGCAAATAATTTTAAGGAAAAAGGAGTAAGAGAAAAATATATTGTTGAATACCATTCTGAAAAAATCATTTGAAAAATGTTTGTAAAATCTGTGTAAAAAACCAATTGCGCCTCGCTCGTCTTAATTTGCAATATTTTCATTCAATGTGGCGAATACCAACTTTATATTGGATTTGGATATTTCAATCAAAGTGTTTTCTTTTAAAAATGACCCTGTAATTACGAAAAACTAGCTATCATACGATGTTTCTTTTTCTTGTCCAGCTGTCTTTTGATTCAAATTGTACTTAACAAGACTTTCTTAAAGAGTAAACGCATTATCTGTTATAATTACATAGCAAATATTGCAAAAAGTCTGAAGATTAAGTTGATCAGCGGGCTAAGTCTACAGTCTGCAAGGCAAGTGTTTAACTAAGGAGATATGACTGTTTGCGGTTATCAATGTTGAGAATTTAATTATTAATATTTCACTTCAAGTCACACCCACAGCCTAAAACAATCAAAGAGATCAGCTTTTGACTTCTTTAAACGATCTGGTGTGTTTCACTCATGTCATTTTTACAAAAATGAAATTTTGTAAAAGTTGAACGAAAAAAATCGCTTTTTGTATTACAAGAATGATTTTGTTCCTTTTAAGTAAAATCTTAAAATACCTGTCAAATTATGATATGAAATAATTATTCGTTGTTTCTGTTTTCGGCTGTATAAATAATCCTTAACATAATGTTTATTGCAGAAACTTATCAAATTGTTATCAAATGAACTAATCCTCTACTTAGATACATTAGAACATCAGTCGGTGACAAACTCGGTTCTACCTTATACTTCGCTTTGGATGATAATTTAGGGAATCACCGATCCCTTGTGCAGACCATAGAATTCTTCATCGCCTCCACTTCACATCGAGGTTCGTTGTACATTGCAAATCGCTAGATGACGTAACCAGCCACTTTTCAGAGTGAGGCTGTGTCATAGGTTAATATGCAACTACATAGTCAGGATAAGATTTATTTGAGCTTTTTAAAACATTTAAAATTAGGTTTACTTCAAGGAGGGTTTTGTAGCACAACCCATAGAAATGTGTTCTTCTTGGCTAACGTTGTATGGAATTCAACGTTAATTTGATGTAATTTTTACGTAAACGCTGTTTTCTGACGCTTCCCAAGGCGTTGCCACGGAGATTGTTTCAAGGAGCCTGTCTGCTTGTCCATCTTCTTATTTGGACAGTGGCACATTAGAAGGCTGTTCATATAAGATAAAAACATTGAAGATTCAAAAGCATTTTTTGTGTCAAATATCATATTTAGTATTAACGTGGGATTTTATGCACCTTTAGTTCATTTTCCCAAAAAATTTATTGATAGATGTAAAGTTTATTGTTGAATAAAGTAATAAAGAGTTTTGACCAGTTGAGCAGTGAATACTCGAAAGAGATTCCTCGTGAACAAAACAGGTTGGTCAATATATGTGAAATAGAGGAACTAGGGAAATGAAAAAGCATACTACCCTGTACGGTTCGACTTTTGAAACAGGACTATATCAACATAAAATTCCACTAAAAGAAAATATATTCTGTCTTTTTTCTCGATTTTTCATAAGGTTACAATATGAAATATTTAAGGCCTACGAGTTGCTCGCAAATACCATGCTTTTTTGCCCGTTTTTTGTCCTAATGGCATAAAATGCTAATGCTAGGTGCATAGATACAACTGCTTAGCTCTGTTGTCTGGCTCTATGAGTATGCTTTCATAAACGGTTATTCTGTGATAAGCCCTTATAAGAATAACTTCACCCCCCCCCCCTTTTTTATGCAACGTTACAAGTTAATTTCTGTCAACACATATTTGACGATAATGTCATTGAATCCACAACTTCTGGATTTCTCCAAAGTGGAGTTTTTCAAGTTGCTACGAATCCCATGTTTGAACGCTCGAATTCGAGTATTTACAGTAAAACCTTGTTATACTGGTTTCCACGCTTGATGGCGCATGCCCTGATGAAAATTTTCATAGAGCAACTGTTAAACTAATGCGAAAGAGAACACGTATGAATGACACGCTACTTGTGGACACGAAAACGTTTGAATCCATAAAGTAAAGCCGTGGACGTGTAGACGCATAAGTGTGAATCTCGTAACTTCTTCGACGGCCTAAGAGAGGTTTCCTCGCCACAAAGTAAGAAAGATGTACTGAACTGTAGTTGTTTAAGTACCACTCTCTGAATGACACAACGCAGGTTTTATTTTAACGTGCATTGATAACCGATTGGTGCAATGATAAATCGTAATTTTGCAGTGAGAAACTCAAACTTTGTGCAGAGATGAAACTAAATTAAAAAGATCTGGTGTTGAAAAAGTAATATTGCAGCAACTGCCATTACCAATAGACACACAAAGTTTATATAAGAGTATTACAATATTAGAAACAAGAACATACAGTAACAATGATCGCTCTAATCTTTTAAGTTAAGTTACGTAAATCTCTCTAAAATTTTATTGAATTCAGCATGTAGAACTATCTAGTTTTTTTGGCTTTTCATCTTGAGATTTTTATTCTCGAAAGCATGTTTAAACCTAGACCACTTTTTCTCGTGAAAACTCTTGTACAGCTTAAGTAAGAGCTAGTGTAATTCAATAATATCACATACAGTTAGTTCGATAGGTGTGGTCATGAAGATTTTCAAAACGAAAACCCAAATTTTCAAAAATTGTGCAGTGGCCTAACGGACTAAAATTACTTTTAGTTCAAAAACCAAGGACCCTCAACAATTGAGGTCCCCCACCAAACAATTTTTCTATATTAATTTCTTTGAAGCTGGTATTCTGGATTTGGTAAACGAGTGCAAGGGCTCCCAAGCATGTACGATTAGTCAGTCCAAATGAATGGAAAAATCTGTTGATTAGCATTTGATGCTTTGTCTATACTGTTTTACTAATGCCAATAACGGGGGGCCCCGGACGGAAAAACCCTATAGGGTACCGACTTGCCCTTGAACAAAACTGCGTTTTTGTACCTTAATAGTTAGCATAAATTCTATAACTATAACAAGGAGTTGTTTCACATGAATATTTGCTCAGTGAGGATTTCACTCAACAAAATAAACGCCTGTTGACATGGGAACAGAGATCTCTGTTAATTCTAATAAATAACATGAGCCTCCCAAACCCCACGTCACAACATCACTGTTTTGGGTTGGCTTAGCCCAAGTAAATGACAGCAAATGTACCTTCCCTATATTTGTACAAGTACCATGGAAATATTTTATCCCCATCGTTTTCCTATACCGCCTTTATATATAGGACATTAAGCGAGGGAGATCAAACTCAGGATTACTTTTTGTCAATCCAATGACTCCAGTTTTAAAACCACTTTATGCATCTATTTTAAAAAGAACCTGATCAAGGCCAAAATTAGCAAGAATTTGTTTGTTAAAGTTTACAGTATACAATACCCTTGAAGATTTTTAGGTCAATTTTACGATGACCGTTTATCCATTTGACAAAGGGCAACAGTTGATGAAAAGGTTGATATGTATCACAAGATATTCTGAGCTATAAACCTTGCAAGCTCCCTGGGACAAATGACATTTGATGCCACATTAAAGGCATTTCTCTTGAATAGAAGCCGAAATTTGAATGAAACTGCAACACCAAAGAAGGTTCTCACTTAATGTATCTCAGTCTTGCAATAGATGAACTTTTAGGAGTATTGCAGTGTTTTATCAAGTTATGTGTTCAAAAGTGAAAAATCCTAAAAGCAAATTTTTAGATATCATACTTCAAAGAAACATTGCTGAGCAAACACCGCGGGGCATATAACAGATTAAGGGGGCTTTGAACCTTTTTTGGGAGGGATGGGGTTAAACATGCCATAAACCAAGAACAGGACGATTTTTGTATGGTTTTAAGTACATTTGAAAGTTATTCGGGGGGCTATAGCCCCCTACTTCTGCGGTCCATGCTGCTGAGTGAATTTCATATTTGTATCAAGCAATGTTGATTCGAAATACGCAAGGTGAAATTTATAGTTTATGATGAAGCAAATATAGATTTATTTCCCGTCTTAAATGAAGATTTTATATCGAGTCTCAGGTAAGTGGTCAACGAGCCTGCAATAGCAAAATAAAATTTTGAGCATTTTCGTCTTTCTTACGAAGGCTATATTTAAAGACATTGAAAACAAGGCAGTTTTGATAAGAATCGTGTGAAATTAGAAGTTTAGATCATATTTGTTATAGATAAGGATGCCTGGTTTCTTCCTGATAGGCGCTTCTCTCTATCTCTTTCGAATACATTAATTTGATTTTAGCAGCTGCTGCAAAGACAAAGGTGACACAATTTATCATCGCTTAAATTATTGATCATGTAGTTCGAGATAATGGCACGGCAGCCCTCTGTTTTGTGGATATGTTTCTCGTAGCACGGATTACAAAGGGTAAGTCACCTGCTGAATAAAATAAGTTTAGCTATACTCACTTTTTATACATGCAAGATGCACTTGGCAATCGAGTGTTGGCAATTCTTGCAGTGGTCGACACTTATTTGAGGAGTGTAGGCTTCTAAATATCTTTCTTGAAACGATAACTTTCTCCGAAGCTAACGAAATCGATTGAAATTGAATGCTTCAATACAAGCACTACCTTTTTAACTGACTGATTACAAATTCGTTTAAATAACATACCCAAAGAGGAGTGAGTTTGATTATTCTTAATCTAGAGTGAAGCAGTCGCATATGAGGATCATCAGACGCAATGATCAGATGTAGAGAGTGGAGATGTTGTTGTAAACACTCTGAATGTGTCTTACCAGGTAAAAAAACTTTACTTATTGCCTTCACAAAGTGCCACAGTGCATCGATCTCATTTCACTGCAATCAGTGCAAATCAAAGCTATGCTATCTCGCCTGTATTGCTCTCAATAATCAACAAATATTTTATCAAAGGAGGAATACATAGAGTCAGAAAATTTACCTGTTAATCAGGTTTACATTGTCTTTTAACAACAATGTGGGTGGAAAAATGCTCAAGGCAGGTAAATAAATAGTTGATATTTTTTGCATGAAATTTCAGTTTCGTTTCGTATACGCATTGCATTTTGAAGACTTTTTGCACGGTAAAGTAAATGCTTTACACTAGAGTGCTTGAGGAGAACTGATTCGTATGTGATAGTATTGCGTGGGTACAAATGTACCCGCCTGAAAATGTAGTGAATTCATAAAATTATTTGGCAAGATAAATATTTTTTTTTTCATCCAAATCATCGATAGTTTGATACAATTGTGTTTGTGACATTCTCTAGGAATGTGTCCCAAGACCTCAAAGAAGGGTACATACGGTTCCCTCCCTCTCTGATTATTAGCCCTCTTCCCTCTTGATTTGATGAGCAGGTTACGCATTGCCCTTTCAAGACTTTTTGCATGGTAAAGTAAATGCTTTACACCAGAGTGCTTGAAGAGAACAAATTCGTAGGTCCACCAGCTCTTGGATTTTGAACAGGTGCCGTGTTAATTGTAGAAAGGTCTGTGTATCAATGAGCATTTCAAATGAGAGGTTCATATTTGAAAAAGAAATAGTCTGAGGGTTCGGGTAGTAAAATTTGCATCTTTAAACGAAGCCACGTAGAAAAAAAAGTATATTTATTCTGCAATCCGATTTTAAAATCTACATCTTTAAGACTGTTATCTGGTAAGAAAATATGCATCTGTAAATAGGGAAGGAAAATTAGGTGCATAGGACGTGTGTGTGATTAAAGGCAACGTTTACTGAAGTTGCTTTAAAAAGAATTGGAAAACCAGATGGATTTTTGCCCTTTTTTACCAATTGTTGACCAAGATCTGCGTTTCAGAGGGTAAAGACAGCACGCTTAGTGATTAAAAGCTCCCTATGGACAATAACTGGGTCCATGGTAATTATTTTTTACGCTGTATATAAACTTTATATCGCAATGAGATGCCTGTAAACTAAATATCAAGGTTTAGAAAAGCTTCACAAAAAATTGTTTCGCAAGAAAAATAGTGGAAAGACACTGTAAGTACTGTAAGAATATAACAGGTAAAAGAACATGTGTCAGTGACGTTATTGGGAACAGAAAAAATCATTTGTATTTGAAACCAAGCTGTGTTTAAATAATGAGATATTTCTTCATATCTAGGGTCAAAACAAGGTTAATACACTCTATGAGCAATATCTATAGGAACATTGAAACATGAGCCAGCATTCAAGCGGTGCCAGAGGCGGGACGAAATGTCAATCCGCCCCTGATAAAATTTGATACTTTCCATAACCGCTGGCGCCCATTGTGGGTTACACTTTGACCACTTGAGAACTAAGCGTAATTCAAAATTGAATTGGATAGCGAAAGCTGATTACGAGGTTCTTGTATGTTTTGATTTCATTTTTTGTTGAGAGAATCCAAGCACAGATATGCCTGTTAAACGAGGACGACTTAACAGCGAATTTTCGCTTGATGGCAGTATCGTAAAGGTTATCGAGCACTACCGTGAGTATGCTTGCTAGTTTATCACCGTTTCCAATGGTCAGTTGGCAAGCCGGCATGAAGGCAGTAATAAAAGGCCGCTGCATGTGTAATAGGTGATCTTCTTGACTGACAGGAAACTCCCCCTCTATTTTCCTGTACCGCTACGATACCCTGAAGACAAATTGTAAAATATCGTTTTAAAAAAATCACAAGAATCATAAAACAATAGAATTTAAAGTACGGTAAAGTTTGTTTGCTGATAGCTGAAAAGAGCGATCGTTCGTCTATCTTGCGGCCTTCGGTGCTACGTTTGCCTTGTCAAGACTTTTATGAATCTTCATTCTTATGGTTCTGTTTTTACAGCTGGGCTTGTTAACTTAGATTCGCTAGCATTTCTGCTCAGTTATGAATTCAACGAATGCCATGTTTATTTATCGCTAACTTGAAAAGGTTGAGTTATCTTGCCAAAAACTATATTCGGCTTTCGGCAGGGTCAAATAACTTTGTCATTGCCCATGCCCAGCTTTTCATACCGCAGTTCCTGATTCAAACAGTTGTGGAAAGCATTTCACCATATCGTTAGATTGAGGATAAGGTTGCTAGAATTTTCTTTGACTTATTATTATTTTTCCTAAAATAGAATTCATTAGAAAGAACTCGAAATCTTTTGGTGTTTTCTTTTTAATTCACTATTAAATCAACAATTGTTGTTCTAGATCACATTGAGATGCAAACTGTTTCAGATTAGCAGACATCACTTGTGAACTAACATCCCATTTAAAAGTTTTGATTTTGTTTTTCTCATAACTGTTTATGAATAGCTGCTTCAAATGTGTGCTGGATAAAACGTATGTAATAATTGGCAGTATATTGCCACCAGCAGGTTCTCATCTTTTGCTTCTATATTGTGAATACATTGAGAAATGTGGGAAAAGGTTTCTTTTCAACATTGGAAACCTGCTGCATTGTATATTAACAAAAGCTAAACCTTTTTTAATTGCAAAGTTCTCAATTTCTCATTATCATTTGCAAGGGAACCTGAAATCAAACATTGTTTTATCATTATAAGCTCAAGCAGCAAAAAACTAGACTATGTAATACGCTTGAATTCTTCAATGAGAACAAGTTCCAGGTTTTGTGAGTTAAATTGTGGTCAAATCTGAATACATTAATGAAAAGTGTACTTACCTGGACTATGGAATGCAATCTCATATCATGGCAATCTAAATATGACACAATAAATTTCAGCTGTCTAGTTTATTGGGAAAAAGTGTCTAAATCTATACCAGACAACTAGACAGACCTTACTAGACTATAAAGACCTTACTAGACAGCCACCCAGAAGTAGCTACAATGGTATATAGAATTTTCTCTTCCTGTTGATGCTTGATATCCAAATGTAATCAAGAGATTATGATGTTTTTATAGCTGTATTGATGTCACATTGAACGATCACTTACATTTCAGCGATCACACATTTCTTTGTTGATATATTTTTCTCTCTTTAATTTAGATTACAAAAGTTGTAAATGATAGTATTGTTAGCACACTTTTCAGTGAGGACTCAATGTTGTTATGTCTTTTCCTGCTGCACATGATGAAGGTAAAAGTATTATCATGGTTTTAACAATAATATAAACAATAAATACCATACTAAATAAAACAATAATATATATGTTATTTTTTGTATATAGTGTATATACAAAATATTTTTTTTGTAGCTGGAACATGTTTTGTTATTGGAAATGCACAAGTTGAAGGCTTTCCTGTTATATACTGCACAAAAAGCATATGTGAACTTACTGGGTATGCTAAAGCAGATCTGGTACAAAAAAGCTGTGCCTTGGAATTTCTTTGTGGGCCAGAAACAGACCCAAACTCAATTTCAAATGTTCGAAAAGCCCTACAAAATGGTGAAGAGAAAGAAGTTTTTCCTGTTACATATTACAAGAAAGATGGTAAGTTTTATTCTATAATAGTTCGTGTGAAAAGGCTTGTTTATTGTGGGTTTGCTATTGACATTGAAGCAATAAAAGATAAACCTGTCTTCTTCCCCACCCAATCAAACAGTCAAACATAATAGAGGTTGTCTATACCTGTATTTATTTACATTATGGAGACAACCTGAATGGGCATCTTAATACTTTTTTTAGTTCACTGACCTTTGACATTGAGATTGCATATTAGGGCCAGTGGTGTAACACAGTTCAGGGCACTCTAATTTGATAACCAAGGGCCCCTACCAAAAGGGGCCCCAAAATTATTTTTATATCCATGTTTTAAGAATTTGTTCAAGGTCACCTCATTGATTTTAGATTTCTACAACTTTAGCCTCTACTAGAAAACTTATCAGTTTTTATCAGTTAGCGAGAAAAATTGTCAGTTTTAAATCTTGCTATATGTTTGCCATGCTCTACAGCGATGGATGGGACTCTGTTTATGTCTGTTGATAGGGCCACATCTCAGTTTTCCCTTAGGGCCTGTTATGCCTGCATTGTGCCATTGATTAGGACCTCTGAGTTAGACATCCTTTATGTGATTCAGTTATTTCCTGATTTTAACCAAGGAAGTTTCAACATGTTTTTAAAAGTCAAGCAGAAAAGCTATTGTTTGAGCATCAGTTATTTAAGAACAGATGGTGACGCAATGCAGGACATGCAGTTTTTGTCCAACAAAATTTAAGTCTTCAAATCAGATCAGATTGGATGAGATTAAGCTGTAAAGCTTTCGTAGATCATAAGGGACTAACGTTTAGAGTACA